AGGGGAAAGCACGAGTACCAGAGGTTGCCAATGGGCCTATGTAATAGTCCCGACATCTTCCAAAGGAAGATGAAAACACGCATGCATGACTTAGAAAATGTCCGTGCATACATTGATGATCAACTCACCCTAACTGACGTCGATCTGGCGGATCGCGTTGAATAGTTAGATGACCTTTTCCAAAGACTTCAAGAAGTCGGGGTTAAAATCAACACTACCAAGGCCTTCCTCGAAAGGAAGAACTTGAGTAGAGTGATCTGCACATTAAGAACGACCTTTCGCCGGAATATTCTCTTCAGAGCTGTATATCGAATATAGTACTCTTAAGGGGTGGAATCGACAGAGCACATGTTGCTGAGTAAGCCAAAAAATTCCCAACTTCATAGAGTACTTATTGGGGAAGTTATGGACGGTTGAAGATTTCATCCAACCCTCAGCGAATTCTTTTTCTCTGCAGATTAAGACCATATGACGTCACACGTAGCCTCTGGTACTGAACCTACGTAGGATCCTACCGTACCGGTACCGTGCTCTATGGAGTGAAAACTCCTGTGTGAGTCCGGCACCTCTATGGTCTCCAAGCACATGCATAAGCACCTCTATGGACACTCCTTCTTGCTCTCAAGCTTGGATGTTACGTACTAGTACTTGGTATGCACATTCCAATCGTCTACCGGAACTGGTACCTCTATCAACATCCTCTGCCTACCACACTCCTCCTTCCTCATCGACACAACTGCTTCCTCTAGCGTATGGACACTCGTTCTTCCTCTCAAGCTTGGATGTTACGTACTAGTACTTGGTGTGCATGGTATCAGCACTCCTTCCTCTGTCAACACAGCCAACACCGCCAACACTCGACACATGGCTTGAGGTCCTCTACTGGCTAGCTAGTAGCTAGCTGCTGCTGTACCAGTACGGCATGACCGTGATAGCTGGCTTGGTCCTATGTAGCTGTTACTATAGAAATTACTGTACAATTCCCACAATATTATGATGGTCTTAATCTGCAGTGGGTCTTAATGTGCAGATCACTCTATCTAGACAATTGGACTACTCGAGAAGGAATCCAACCCTTAACTAAAAAGATAATAGATGCGATCCAACTATCACTCTTCCTACCAACAGGAAGGAACTTCGTGGATTCATTGGACCAATGAACTACCAAGGGCTGCTCCAAGACAGCAGACGGAGTAACCATCGTTCTGAAACAGACGTGGGTTACCCAGTATCCATGACCGGTTGTCATGGACAGAGAACGTGAGTCCCGCGCAGAGGTCGAGAAGACTCTCCGGGATGAACGTGGACTTCGTCGCAAGTTCACGCGCGTCAATCGTGACAAGATTCACCACATCCGTTTCAAAGCAAACCGGAAATACATTAAGGAACGTCGCCAACGACTTATCCAGAAAACACGGATAAGGAGAACACGACACGTGTCCCTATCAACAACATGTCAACGAACTATGATGATTCATCAGTATCAAGAACCTTAGTACGGTCAGCCAACGACAAAGGTCCTTACCACAAGACCGAGTCAATAACAATGACTGTACGGCTCCGACATACTACCGCCAGTAGCGCACAGTCTACCAGACTTGGACATAAGGTATTTACACCCATACAAGGCCTGATCCCTTGTAGGATTGCCCATCGTGCGACGCACATGTCTTACATCCAATCTCCGGAGAGTGCCCCGCACTTTAAATTCATATGTTCTCCTTGTCGACTGATGTCGTGCCTTCCGTGACCTTGTCAGGGGGCGAATGCAATACACGGCTCTTGGCCAATGCAATACACGGCTCTTAGCTTATTCGCGACTCGATCTAGATAGGGTTTGAGTTCGATCATGACTGAGTCTCTTGTGAATAGTATATGAGACAGGGTTCTCAATGCCTCTCTAGTCATACTAGGGTTGATGATGAAACATCGCTATAGATATTTAGCCAGCGTGGAAGTATTCCACGCTTACTAGATAATGCTAGACGAATCTTCCACGCGTTCCGTTTTTGGATCGTGGAGTGAGTAGGATTGCTACCGCAACCTACTCTATCACACTCTACAGTCTCCCGCGGGAGTTCAGATCTACGATCCTTTGATTTGTGGATCTCTCTCGTTGATTAGTTTTCATAGCTTTCTAATCCTCTCATAACTTTCATTCTCTCCAACTCAAAACACTCGAAAGATCTTTACACTAGCTTTTAGCGTAGTGCACCATGTTGCATCTGGACCCAAGTTGACTTGGCCACCTTCTCCTTCCTGATTATACCGCTCCAATTGTGTTTCATCACTGGCATTGTACAAGACGTTGGTGGATCTGGAAATGACGACGCGCTGCGACGATGCCGTGGCATTGAACTCGTCGACGAAACCTGCAATCCACAAGTCCCAATTGTACGGAACGTAATTATATCCTTCCATGAGTGGACAGCGTTGCCAACTCACCATGTAATTGGGAGGGTCCATGACTGGGAAGGGGTCCTGGGCTGGGATGATGCCATTTTCGTCATAGTGCAGGATGGTTGGCACCGGGTTCATATACTGGCTCAAACTGGTACCGTGAAAGTCTGGATTGTTCTCTTGTACTAGTACTGCAATGGTTTCATTGCTGTGCGTGCGTGCGTGCGTGCGTGCGTGTGTGCGTGCGTGTGTGCGAGAAGAAGAGGTGAAGAGATGCGTGCAACCCAGAGAATGGGTGAGTGATACGGATGGTGCCACTTACAGACACTAGAACAAGCCAAGCCAAGCCAAGCCCAATCAAGTCAGAGCAACGCACTTACATCCACTGAGTGTTTTGCACGGAATAGGCATCCCAGGCCTCTCTGTCTTGCGCAGTGACAATCAAGGCAACGATGAATTGCGCCGCCCTGCTGAGTTTGATCATCTTGGCTGCCTGGACACCAAAGCCAGGTACTGTGACAAAGGGGAATCGGGATGGGAAGCTGGTGGGAATTGCACTACTAGTACTAGTAGTGTTGGCATTGACGTTGTCAACGATTGTCGTTTCGGAAACGTCTCCTCCATTGTCAACTTTCGTTAAACCCACCATCTTGCTGGCATAAGCGTCAACGGCACCAAGGGTGATATCCAAACTACCGCTAATCCCTTCAATGACCCTACGGGGGAGAATGGAAGCAAAGCGTGAGTATGGATGAATGAATGAGGCCAATGCTAACATACAGAGAGAGCTTCATATAACGTGTTTCTTCCTGCACTTACTTGTTGGCATCACTGAAGAATTCGGTTTCGAAGTCGCTGTTTTCTTCATTCTTGACATAAAAGTTGACTGCTAGAGAAACTACAATGACACAAGCTACCAAAACCAGCAACAAGATCAATCGCATCCTTCCAACCATCCGGGTTTCATCCTTGGCAATTTCCTTCTTTTGTTGCTGTTGTTCCTCCAAGCCTGTCTTGCCCTCATTGTCGACAGTATAGTGCGTCTCATTCTCAGGGTCCTCATCATCAAAGCTGTCGCTGTCGTCGATGTTGTTGTCGGAAGGAGGTAGATTGAGAGGTGGGTCATTGCTAGAAAACAATGAAGCATCCGCAGGGTGCGTTTCAGGGAGAGCCATGGAAGAGGCTCTCTAGAAAAGGACGGGTGTTCTTTGCAACTTTACCTCCAGGTAGATTCGATTATACAATTATGCGCCGAAGAGAGACAATGAAAGAGGTAGAGGAGCGAGTGGATGTGTGTGTGGAAGATATCATAGATGATTAGAAAGAGGAAAAAGCGAAAAAGTGTGCAGCCCAGCAGCCCTGGACTGTACCGGAGTAGGGGCATTGGATGATGACCTTTGACCTCTCCATCCGAAAGTCGTCCCCTAAGTACAATCTATCCTACTTATGGTACACGTGTAGTACTATTAAAAGGTAGACACGACCTCGGACATTGAGGGAGCCTTGAATCCTTGAATGACTCGAAGTCTTCTTTGAAACGGCTTCTAAAAGCCCGTCAAGCTGGTAAGATTTTGGGAATGTTGAAGATGAGCCTCACCATGTCGAACAATCGACTGCCGGGGTGCTGGGCGCATAAGCAAAATCACATCAATATCATGGATTGTCGGGACGAAAGGTGTCCCAATACAGAAGAGGAGCCATCATGGCTCCAATTGGAAAGGGATCAAGGCTTTTTGCACGTGCACTCACAGTCAAGTTATCCCAAAGAGAGCGTGAGACGTGAGACAAGCCAAGAAAGAACTGCAATGCTTCACTGCAATTCTGCAATTCTGCTGTCCTTCATGAAAACACCCAGCATGTCTCAACGATTATCAAACAGAGGTTGAAGTTACTAGCTAGTACTGTATTGCCTCTGAGGAACATGTAGCTATGGTATGGAAACCTCTAGTAGTACAATGCCCATCCTACTGTACCAATGGTAGCTTTGCAATGCTACTTCTGTCGTTGTTGTATCTAGCTAGATTTACTGTCTACAATATGCACCGACGGTATGCGCTACAAAGTAATGCCTGTGTTCATCAATAGCCCAAAAGAGATTTGAAGCCACATCTGTCTTTGGGCTGGCTTATACATCATACGCGTTGATGTTGTCCACTGTCCCTGTTACAGACTCTGCTGTGTCGCCACCAGGAGATAGTGCCTTCTAATCTGAGCCCGAATTGACCGAGATGTATCTCCTGTTCAGTCCGCTGTAGCTGCACGGGCAACTCCACACGGATGCCGCCCATAAGAGGCAATGAACCAATGGCACAAAGAGAAAGAGAACCATAGCCATGAGAATGGAAGAGTGCACAGGCGTATCTTCAAAGTTGATAGCTGTATAGAGCAGGTCATCGTCGGTAGTAGGATCATTGTCAGATCGGGTGGGGTCACCAATATCCGTTGCCAGTTGATGAATCACAAGCCATGCTTCATATATCCCGGCTATAAGCATGTACAGGGGTAGATGCTTCAATCGAACGGGGGTGCGGTTGATGACCAATCCTTCGACCCATACAAAGACCATGACCACACCGTGCATGTAGACGCGTTCGAATGTCACCTCCGTATCGCCGGGTTTGTACTGGAAGCTCCACCACATCAGCGTCACCAGGAAGGTCAGGTTTGCAGCAACTTCAAACATTATCCAGCTGATCTTAACCCAGAGAGAAACGGAATCGGAATGATTGGAAGGTTGTTTGGGAGGCATGATGCTGTTGATGAAGGACATCAGGAAATAGAGGCTGGCAATGATCATACCCCAGTGCGTCAAGTAAGCCAAGAAGAAGGCAGCAGTGTCACTGTGAGAAACTTTCGAAGCAACACGCAACAGGTCAAACCAAAGAAACAAATATTGATGACCCGAGCCCACCAACGTGGGACCAAAGGATGCGGGTACATCCACAGTCTTCTGGCCTTCGTGAATGCTGAACCATCCAGGATAGTAGGCAGAACCCCATTCGGTACAGCAGCGAGTTCTACAACTACCTGGTCCGGCATCTTCTTCGAGCTGCGGCGTGCTCTCCAAATCCAGATCGGACTCTGGATCCACAACCTTGGAAACGTGGCTGTCAACGACGACTGCTGCGTCGCTTTGGGGCTTGTCGTCAATCATTGCGTAGATTTTCAAGCAAATTCTGAATTTTGTGATATTGTGAGCCTTCCACCAAGATAGCTTCAGACGTTGAGACTTCAGTGGACTGATGGTTACTGGATATACAACTGTGGAGGGCTGGGTGCTTCAGGGTCCCACTCAATGCAGGGCAGCCCGCCGCTACAATAGTACAGTCCTGCGCAAAGAAAAATGGGCACAGCCACAACCAGGGAGCTCGAGAAATCTAATGATGGAAATACGTGTTACGGTACGATTTGGTGCCTGGCAAAACGTACAGCGAGAACTCTCGTTTCATTTGATGCGAGATACGGGAGCTTGGGCATTAACAAAGTGTCTTTGTTGTTTTCCTTGCGTGAACTGGAACATTGGATCTCATGTGTTTCGAAGATCCTGGGAAACTTGACCACAAGGCACGAGCTTAAAATTATTTGGATGAACCTCAAGGTCTCCACTTGTCACGGTGGTACCATGATTCGGTGGTATGTGCCGGTATAATAGCACGGGTTGCTTTCCTCCCATCCAAAGTCAAAGTCGTGTTGGCTGCAGGGTTGTAGCGACATGTTACGTACCGGTACCTGGTACTTCCTGCTCGGGCAGCAACAAGCAACAACCTAGTGCAAGCGCTGGGAGGTGCAATGATTGATATGCTACGGTATGAATGAAAATAATCCAAACTTACTAGAACTTAATCCAATTCTCTCTTGCGGACTAGCTAGATGCAGACCTACCACTGAAGAGGTGAAACCAGGACCTACTCCCACCACCTTGCTTCTGTTTGAAACCGAGGCAGCGTCGAACCCCCAGTGTCTTCGTATTAATTGCTTTGACGGAGTCCTTGTACTAGCTAGTTATCAGGGTCAACTCAGGGACCCATGGATAATGCTGAATGATACAAACGTGCCGAACATGTTGTTCCAAAGCTGTGCGCCGATGTGTAGCTTTCCCTGCACAACCACAGTCAGAATGCAGCAGACCCCCGACCCCGAAGTCAAAAATTAAGTTGCAAAACTTCCGAAAACTTTCAATCTCGCTCGGGACTTCAGTTGGCCTTCACGAAACACGTGCTTCCGCTCCGACTTCATTGACCTCGCGAAAAACGTGCTTCGCGGGGGTTCCGACGTCGACCACTCAAAGCAAAAGATCCGGGCCACTCCTTTGCTTTTACCGATTGATCCTTCGATTCTTTGCAACTGATTGATCATTCGAATCTTTGCACCAGTGTGACAACGAGACAACCTCACAAATCCGGATTACAAGGAGAAAAAGACGAAAGGTAGGATGCGTTGCTCTCTCTTATCATCTGTGCTACTGGCCTTGGTCCCTTCTGTTGCGGCCCAAGTTGTTGTTGATGAAGCTGAAACCAATATCACAACCGATTGTGTTGAGGCCGATGCCTTTGACCCTAACTTCGACTACTTCGAAGGTCTCAAGTATGCAGTAACCGACTACACTCCAGAGTTGGTGTCTGACCTGGGAACAGATGCCTTTGAGGACAATAAGGTGAATTTGGATGGCACTACTGATCTCTTCTCTATCACCTACCACAATCATTACAAGATCTTGACCAATCATCAGATGAACAAGACGTATCTGCTGTACATGTGTGGAACTCAAGAGCAGATTCCAACTGAAGAGTTGGAAGCAGGAAAGCATCATTTGGTTCTAAGTATCCCTCATACTGGAGGAGTGGCCATTACACAAACTACACAGATTCCATACATGGAGCTGTTGGGATTGCGGCGAGAGATCATTGCCTACATTGGTGACCCCCAGTATATTACGTCACCTTGTTTGCTTCATTTGATTAACGAAGAAAACTCTGTTGAGTTGGTATATGATCGCGATGATCCATGGAATTCCACCTCTACGGCTGCTTTACAAGCAGAGTTCTTGGAAGAGCACCCTGATGCCATCGTTTTGGGAGGACCATTCCATGATCCCGATGGGGATCGTTCGGTAATTGTACTTGCCACCCAAGAAAGGACAACCGTGGCTACATTTGATTGGATTGGATTCTATGCTGCATTCTTCAATCTTGAAAGCATGTCCAACCAAATTGCAGCCGACACCAAGGCGCGCTTTGATTGCTCCGCTTCCAATGCCGCCACTTTGTCTGCGAATCGAGAAGAACAACCCAAGGTCCTTTGGGCCACCTACTACCAAAGTTATAATTGGTCTGGTAAGATAAACAGCATCGGACACTCACAAGTGCTACCTAATGGCCACCACAGCCTGTTTGCAAATATCTTTGCTCATTGATCTTTTTGTTTTTGCAGTTGTCCAATGCCCCACCTGGGATTCAGCCTACTATTGCGAGTATGCTAGCCACTGTGGTGCGGAAATCATCTCACGGCCAGAAGGATATGGTCAAACTGTTAATGGATACTGGTATCTTAACGATGAGCAGTTTGTGGAAGTAAGTGCAGAGATTTCCAGAGTGGAGTGAGTCGAATTAAAAGAGCAGCAGTATCTCATACCACCCTCAAACCTTCTCCCAAAACACAATAACTGCAGTTGGGCAAGGATGCGGACATTTTCATCTTGGCGAGCCTTGGGGACAAAATCTATGAGCAAAAGAAGGAAGCCCTGGATCAATTAAAGGCGGTCCAAAATGAGCAATTCTATGATACATATGGACAGGGTCAACACACCTGGCATGAACAACGTCTCGCAGAGTACGATGTCGTGGCGCTAGACTTCTGTGATGTTGTTGGTACAGCGAGCAACACTGGCACTGGGGAAGCTCATACTCGCCGATGGCTTCGCAATGTCTTGAAGGAGCCCATGGGATCTCTTCCAGCATGCAATGTTCCCGATGATATTGACGAACCGTATGTTGCCATTGGAGCAGCATGCTCGCCTTTGGAAGAAGCTTCTGCATCTACAAACACGGCTGCAGACGACAACAGGGAAGTCAGTGGTGAAGACAACAACGATGTCAGCGGTGGAGGCAACAGCGATGCTCTGGGAGCCGCTTCAAAAGGTTTTTCTCTTGCGTTTGCTGGGGCCTGGGTGTTTGTACTGATCTCCTCAGTCCTCAGTATCGCTATGTAACCATGTAACCATGACAAGCATCGTGGACCTCTACAGCTCTGTCAATGGGTACTGCGTGTTCAAAGTGCTGGAGTAATAACAGTACCGGTACTAGCTAGCTAGCTAGTAGAAGTTAGTAAAAAGAAGCTCCGAGTTTTTATGAAGAGGATCTGGATCTGTTCATCGCCTTCAGAGATAAACCAAAGATTTAACATGTGAACTGATGCTATGTCGTTTTTCGGTGACCTCGTGGCCTGCGACCTGCGACACTCATCTCGAGACTCGACTTGACGCGTGTGGCTGTGGGTCCATACCGAGCACTAGCTAGTACTCTAGGACCAGCACAACAATAATATCACTCAAGAGGCAAAGGTATGATGCGTTGCTCTCTGGTATTTGTGCTACTGGCCTTGATCCCTTCTGCTGTGGCCCAAGTTGTTGTTGACGAAGCTGAACCCACGAACGTGACAGGATCTATCAAAGTCGATTGTGTGTCAGCCGATGACTTCGACCCTAGCTTCGACTACTTTGAAGGTCTCAAGTTCGAGGTAACCGACTACACTCCAGAGGTGGTATCTGATCTGGGGACAGATGCTTTTGCGGACAAGGCAGATTTGGATGGCACTACTAATCTCTTCTCTATCACCTACCACAATCATTACAAGATCTTGACCAATCATCAGGTGAACAAGACGTATCTGCTGTACATGTGTGGAACTCAAGAGCAGATTCCCGCAAAAGAGTTGGAACCAGGAAAACATCATTTGGTTCTAAGTGTCCCTCATACTGGAGGAGTGGCCATTACCCAAACTACACAGATTCCGTACCTGGAGTTGTTAGGATTGCGGCGACAGATCGTTGCCTACATTGGTGATCCCTCTTATGTGACGTCACCTTGTTTGCTTCATATGATGAACGAAGAAAACTCGGTTGACTTGGTATATGATCCCAATGATCCATGGAATTCCACCATTACAGCTACTTTAACAGCACAATTCCTGGAAGAGAACCGTGATGCCATCATCTTGGGAGGGCCATTCCATGATGCCAGCGGAGATCGTTCGGCAATTGTATCTGCTACACAAGAAAGGACGACCGTGGCAACGTTTGATTGGATTGGATTCTACGCTGCATTCTTCAACCTCGAAGGCATGTCCAACCAAATTGCATCTGACACCAAGGCACGCTTTGATTGCTCCGCTTCCAATGCAGCCACGTTGTCTGCGGATCGAGCAGAACTACCCAAGGTCCTTTGGGCCACCTACTTTCAAAGTTATAATTGGTCTGGTAAGAAAAACAGCAATGGATACTCACATTTGCTACCTGATGCATTGCCTGATTGATCATGCTTGTTTTCGCAGTTGTCCAATGCCCCACCTGGGATTCAGCCTATTATTGCGAGTACGCTAGTCACTGCGGTGCTCACATCATGTCCCGACCGGACGAATTTGGCACAAATATTGGAGGATACTGGTATCTTGACGATGATCAGTTTGTGGAAGTAAGTACAGAGAGTTTCAGAGTGGAGTGAATCCATAGAGCAGTAGCATCTCACGGCATTGTCAAACCTTCTACCGAAACACAACAACTTACAGTTGGGCAAGGAAGCAGATGTCATGGTCTACACGAGCGACTGGGATACAATCTATGAGGAAAAGGAGGATGTCCTGGATCAAATCAAAGCAGTTCAAAATGAGCAAGTCTATGATACAAATGGAAAAGGCCCGTCCGCCTGGTTTGAACAACGTCTGGCAGAGTACGATGTGGTGGCGCTAGACTTCTGCGATATTGTTGGTACAGCGAGCAACAGTGGCACAGGGGGGGCTCACACTCGCCAGTGGCTTCGCAATGTCTTCAACGGCGAGCCCATTGGATCTCTTCCAGAATGTGATGTTCGGGATGGAATTGACGAACCTTTTGTGGCCGTAGGAGCAGAGTGCACACCCTTGGAAGAGTCTGCTGCATCTACAAACACGGCCGCCGAAGACGCCGGTGGAGACAGCAATGCCCAGGGAGCCGTTTCGAAAGGTTCTTCCTTTGCAATTATGGGTGCATGGGCATTTTTGCTGGTCTCCTCAGTCCTCAGTATTGCTGTGTAACCGTGGCAAGCATCCTGGACCTGTACAGCCCTGTTAAAATGTACCGCATGTTCAAAGTTAAAGAAGTTAATGAGAGAAGCCGCTTGTTTACAAGCTGACGTTTAGAAGAATGATCCTCTTCAGACCGCGCTTTGGCTACTAAATTCTCAGGACCTGTGCGGTTGAGGCGCGAACGCTTCCAGACTAGCAGAACGACTGCACTACTAGATATTGGGAAAGCGCTCAGCCTGGATAGCTAGCTTTGTCTAAGGCTAAGCTAGAATATCTTGTATGGTTGCCATGTCGGAAAGAACCATGGCAGAGCTCCTGAGTATCGGAACCGCAAGGAGTGCCGCTGTGGCTTCACCCATCCGCAGCCCCATACTGAGAACAGGGCATTCATCCACGGGAAAATTATTTTCTCGGGCAATGGCATGGATCTTTTCAAGGGCAGCCCGTTGTCCAGGTTCCGCAGAGTGACTCGTGAAGAAGAGAACGTGGCAGACGTTGGGAGATATGCTCACTGCAACCAGAGCTGCTGCCGTAGCAATGAACCCGTCCACCAGGACTGCAACATCAAGTTGCGACGCTTCCAAGAACGCGCCCACTAGAGCCGCAATTTCGGCACCACCCAATTTGGTTAGCGCATCGGACGCTTGAATGTTGGTTTGCCTTTCCCCGTTAGAGCCAAAGTGCTTGGCTATCGCCTTTTCAACAATAGCAATCTTTTTGGGTATAACTGCTTCCGAAATCTCCCTTGCAGCGAAAGCCCCTCCACCACAAACGTCTTTGGTCGATTTGCCAGTCAAGATGGCAATCAAAGATGACGAACTTGTTGTATTCCCAATACCTACTTCTCCTAGTGCCAAAGCAGTTGCGGACGTTTCCTCTACATACTGCTTCAGAGTCTCTCGTCCAATTGTCATACATCGCTCGCACTCTTCCGACGACATGGCAGGTTCCACGCAGTAGTTCTTCGTCCCGGTTGGAAGCTTTTGCGGCGAAGAAATGACATTGCTGCTGCCCTGAAACGGATCGTCGTCTCCCAGGATGACACCCACGTCGACAACACGTAGAGACACATTGTTGGCCTTGGCCAAGACCGATGCACCTGCCACTCCTCTGTGGAGACCTACCAAAACAGACTTTGTAACAGCTTGAGGATACGCAGAGCATCCTTCTCCTCCTTGGTCAGGTGCGACAGCCGCACCATGATCCCCAGCAAAGATTAAGCATGCCACATTGGTCACGTCTGGTTGGAGAGTCCGTTGCAAGGCTGCCAACCGGGCAGCCCACGTTTCCAAGGTTCCCAAAGAACCGACTGGTTTGGCAAGCACGTCTAGGTAGGCTTGAACAGCTTCGTACCGTTCCTGAAAGGTGCTGTTGGAAAGCGAAAGAATTTCGGAGGCCTTGCCTTTGGGGGAGTCATCGTTTGTCGTCGAAAGATCTTTGCTTTCGGGTACGTTGGTGACGCCATTATTTGTGCCATTCTCTGCGGACGCAGATTGCGCATCAAGATCCCTTGAAGGTTGGTTACCGTTTTTGTAACTCACAAAGACTGTCCATGCTTTTCTGCCAAGCACGAGAAGTAGGAACTTTACAAGAGCGGCTCCCCTCTTGTCCTGAAGGATACTGTCAATGTTTGTTGCGTGCAGAATGAAGGAGAAGTCTTCCAAAACCAAGGGCGATTGGAAGGCCCATCCATCTGATTGTTGTCTTTGTACTGACAGCAGAATGGACAGTGTCAACACTTCGGATAGACAAATGGTGGCACCCAAGTAGTCACCCATTACACCTCCTAGGATTTGATTGCCGTAACACCCAGCAGCGTGGGCAAATGCCAAGACAAGGACCAGGACCAGTAGAGCCACAATGGGATTGTATAGGAGTGATGTCACTGAGAATCCAAAGCCAATGGCAAAGAGTGCTCTTGGCCAATTGACAAGATACTTTGCCTGAATCATGAATGCATAAAAGCTTGATTTGGGTCCTTGCTCATCGTCGACATAGTCAAAACAACGAGTGAGGTAGGGAGCGGTGACCCGTGCCACTGTGTGTGACACCACCATGGCGGGTCCGGCACCCTCTGACAAGTTCATCCAAGAGCTGCTGTTGTTCTCCAGAGTGGGCAGATTCCACTGAGATTCTCCCAACGAAGCAAACAGTTGCACTTTGGTGAATATGTAGAGCCCCAAAGCGGCACATCCATAGGTCCCGACACGAGAGTCTGTCATGATTTTGAATATTTGAGCTCTTGTCCATCCGCCGCCAATGCCTATAGTAACAAAGTTGAGGTAATCACCAATAAGAACTGTTAGTGCAAACTCGTTTGGTGGAACTCTCAAGATGATTTGTTTCCTTGCTGCACCCGTGAGCGACACTGTGAAATACATAAATAATCTACGTACCATCGGCACTGTCGGAAAGTCCATCTTCATGGAAACATCCGGTCAAAGCGAACCCAGTTCCGACACTAATGGCTGCTGCAATAGCCGGTGGCAACAGCAGTGTTTGTTCTACAAAATCAAATGTGATTGCCAGTTTGATTCCAATGAGACATCCCACCACGGGCAAGTACGACATGCCCTTCATGAGAAATCCTGGATGCAAATCAATCGAAGTGGGCACTGGTAGACGGGTCAAGAACATGACAATGGTCATCAAGCTTCTCCATTCATTCTGTAGTTGTAAGGGTGCCTTGATGAAGGACTGAATTTCCTCATGAACCTGGTCTCTGGTGATGCCTTCCTTGATTACTCGAGAAGCAATCTCCTTTTTGTCAATGACTGAGGATGCCAAAGTATCATCAGTATCTGTTGTGGCTGTGGTTGTGGTTGTCTTTGTTTTCTCTTGATCAATGGGAATGTCATAGGCAGAACAAGTTCGAGATTCAATGGGAATGTCATAGGCAGAACAAGTACGAGACTCGATGGGAATGTTGTAGGCAGAACAAGTACGAGACTCAATCTTCGGTGGAGAAGCATCGGCATCGGCAGCGGCGTCAGTCGAGGACATTGTGGTGGCTCTATTTGTTAGTTTGGGTTTGGGAGTTTTTGGTTTCTTTCCATTTTGAGCTTCCTGATCTTCTCTCGTCCACGGCTTTTCTCTCATGGGTGGATCAACAACCAGCCAATCTTCCGAAGGACGTGCTTGACGGTTCGAAGGACGTGCTTCATGCGGTTCGGTCTGTGCGGCGATTAGAGCGTTAAACAATGACAATATTTCCGTACAGAAACGATTTGTTAAGTAAAAAGCACGTTAAGCAATGCACGTGTTTCGGAACACAAAAGATCCAAAAATAACGGTTGGATCTTTGAAGGAAGTTTTTTTGCATTTCGTGAAAGGCCACAAGATATTGACATTGCAGTAACACAACATCACCCAACAAGCAAAGCAACCATGCCTGCAACTGTCTATCTGGTTACTGGAGGATGCCGCAGCGGCAAATCGAGCCATGCCGAGCGTCTATGTGAAGAACTGAGCCAAAATCCCATTTACTTGGCAACTGCTGCGAGTGCCAAGTTGGCAGGGGACCAAGACTTTGCCCAGAGGATTGCTCGACATCAAGAAGATCGAAAAAACAAAGAAAATGGCTGCCAATGGACTACCATTGAAGAACCACTCAGGCCTAGCAACCATGCCAAGGAATTCTCTGAAAAAGTCGTTCTGGTGGATTGCTTGACTCTCTGGCTCACCAATTGGATGATGGAAGAAGGAGCCTTTTCCATAATTGCCAATGACGACGCTTCCAACAAGAATGATGTTAGTAGTAGCAACAAGGAGGAAGCCACAGCGGCAGTGGACCGCGCCATGAAGAATCTCCAACAAGAATTTGACAAACTCATTGCACCCTACAATGTGACTTTTGTAGTAGTCACGAATGAGGTTGGATCTGGCACTCATGCCGATACTCATATCACTCGCAAATTTGTGGATGCTCAAGGATGGTGCAATCAGTTTGTGGCAAGCAAGGCACAGCAAGTCATTCATATGGTGTGTGGTATACCTCACGTGCTCAAAAATGAACTCGGCAAGAAGCGCCAATCGGCATCTGCAACCGTTGCCACACTACAAACAGCCCAACGATTGAACCGACACTTGTCCACGCGCACTATTCCCATGGATGCCAAGGGATACTTTTTGATCAAGACGGACGTGGAAGAGTCTTTGATTGTGGCTAGTTTCCACTCCTGCATTCTCAACGACAAGGGCGAAGTTTGTGACTTGAAGGGAAACAAGATCGGATGCCACGGAAATAATCGTCCGGATCCCATGAAGGTTTGGAAGTGTCGGACCGCCAAGGAATTGACTACGGAGGTATTTGAACGATGGGAGGATATTGACGAGTTGAAACTAAGCGTGGGTCATGCCGCTTATATTGGAAGAGAAGCACAAAAGGCAGAAAATGCCTTGTACCATCATTTGCTCGACGGTAGTGCTGGCATTTATCGGCAGGATTAAGCTACTAGTAGATAGCCATTTGAAGGCAAGTGGTTAGTTACTTCAAACCCAAGTCGTACTGTTGTGTTACCCAAATGGTACCGGTAGGTCTGCGGAAAAAGATACAAATGAGTAGGTACCGGTACATGTACATGCTGGAGCATCCGAGAGACACCATAGGAATGCTACATGTAATATGATTGAATCATTCAGTCATTCTCAATGCTTGCCTTGATCATTTCCTGGCTGCACAGTAAAGATGAGGTATGGTTGCGGCAGGATGGGCTATAAGGGCTCAGTCGAGATTGAGATTCTTTCTACTAGTGGCTAGCTGGCTAGCTAGTAAGCGGAGAAGCTCCACCTTTTAAATGCTTGAACTGGTACAGTACCTGATACATGCTCTCAATCAATGTGGGTACCAGTGGTACTGCCCACTTCTCTCCCCTACGAGTAGAGAAGGGTGGAGACGTGGAGACGCACCACCAAGCTAGAGAAAGAAAACAAGAGAACTCCATCCGAGCACGAGTACAGTCTTCTGTCCCTCGCTGCTTCCAACTTGCCCTGCAAATGGCTGAGCCGAGGTAGCTACTCAGAGTAGCTCTATCCGACCAAGCATCTGCTGCGGAATGCGCAAGATGTCTTGTCACCGTTCTGTTGGTATCAAGAAAGTCAACACTGTGCAGAGTGATTCCGCCAAGAAGCACCAACCATGAATGGTCATACGATACGATAGATTACGATCTTTGCTCATGGTGGTCAACAACCCCAAGCGCAGACTGTGTGGTCGTGTGGTCTACTCGTACGTTGAAGTTTCCCTTGTGGTACCAGTGCATCTATTTCGGATGGTGCCCTTTGGATGGAAACTGCCTCCTAGCTAGACTAATGATGGTTGCAATGTTGGAATCACAGAGAGATCCGGAAAATAATCGTGGCACAAAAGCAACCAAGCGTTGAGATCGTTTGTGCAGCATTCGACACTGGTACCTTTGACTGTAGTACTACATGTATCAGCGGAAGATCCTGATGTTGCCAAAGCACTTTTTGTGCTCGTAGCTGCTCGTTAAAGCACGGATACCAGTACACGTTCTGTCGCTGGTTGAAGAGGTTGGTGGTCAAGGCGGTTCAGAAAACTAAAATGGTCCCCTCCTACCACAGAAGTCTGATTTGGGTGAGTCTGCCGAATTAACAAACACGGAGTGGATTTAATATCCAAATTGTTTCAATAAGAAGAAGAGTCGACCGTATCTACCAGGATTTAAATTGTTAACCACACGGGAATGTGCAGATTTAACAACTTCACAATAATGCTCAATCTGCGCATACTTCACTGGTACAGAAATCAAATCGTCAGTCTCTGAGCAGCTTTTCCAATGGCCTCGTTCTTTCTCGTCCAAGTCGAGAATCTGATGTTAAATCTTGGTATTGAAGTAATTTTCAGCGATTACCACTTTTGACTGCAATACTTAAAGGGTTGTTTACTTGCATTAGAACCACAAAGGTCAAAAGACACTCATTGATGCCCCAAACTTGCCTGTAACATGAGAACTCCAATGTCAAAGAGTCAACACTCCACGGAAATTGCTATGAAAATCCTTCACACTTGAGCTGTTAAGTTCTGTTTCCGTAAGCTCGCAGAGCAATGAAATCATTTTGACTGCGGTGTCATACTGTGCTCTAATGGGTTTATTTATAACTGCTTTATGGATTAACATTAGTAATTTACTGTGCTAAACAATGCTCTGATTTAGGCGACTGATCATTGTGTGTTCGCCAGTTTCGACACCTGCTGCGAAGCCTCTTTCTTTTCCAGTCTCGAAGCGACATGTTCTGAGCTTACCCAATTCAGATGCCACAAAATAATAGTGTCAACTACTGTGAACTACAGCCAGCCAACTGCAATCACATCACCAGCGTAGAAGCAGACTTGAGCGCGCGGTTCGGTTTGCGGTTCTCGTTCCGCCCGTTCCACTCTCCATTCCGTGGATTGCCTCCAAACCAGTGTGGTACCGGTCGCATCCCAGCGCTATCTTTGCTGGGCCAGTTCGCTGATGTTGTGATGCAGTATGTGATGTGATCTGATCTCATTAATTTCCAAATTTGGCAACCACTTCCCATACCGAACCAACAAGGTGATCGTTACCTCTTAGCTTAGCAAACAATCAATCAATCAATCAATCTGACACGATGGAACACCTGATGCTGATATCTCAAACTTCCTACTTCTCTCATCCTGGCATGGGCAACGTCTACCGACATGACGACAAGAAGCACCATCCCTTCGCCAATAATAACAACAACACCGTGAGTAACAAGGAGTCCTTCACACAGCCATTAACAGGTGCGAATGCCATTGTTGTTATCAACAACCACAACAAGCAACACAACAACCACAACCATACCCATGATAATACCACCAGTGGATCCGATGTTGCCAGCAAACAACAACTCGCCCTTCGGCGATCCGTCACTGCCACCAACACGGAGGAGGACCATGGTACCCCCAGCGTCCCATTGACTCCAACACCCACATTTGATAGCGCCGCCAGTATCAAGGAAACCCGGCCTGCCTTTGTGGTGCTACCGAAGGATGTGGCCGATGATTTGGTGACCAAGACACGGAAACGCGTCGAACACACACTTCTCAAATCGGGCTTTCTCGCGTCGGCATCCTCCGAGTTTGCCATGAGAAAGACCCCACGCTACAATGAAGAACAAGTCATTCGTGGAGACTTGCTCGGACAAGGAGGCTTTGCGTCCGTCTATGCCGTCGACATTGTTGCCAACAGCAGTAACAACAACAACAACCAGTACGTGGTCAAACACTTGAATTCCAAACTCTACGACAGCAGCAGCAGCAGCAGCAACAACAACCGCAAACTCCACTTGGGCGCCAAGGACATTTGCCTGGAGACACGCATCTTGGCAACTCTGAATCACCCAAACATTATCTCGTTGGAGGGGATCTCATCCGGTGGACTACAGAACTTTGCCACAACGCAACGGACCGATTCCTACTTTATGGTATTGCCACGATTGTCTTGTACATTGTCGGACAAGATTTCCGCTTGGAAACGACAACGTCTCTACGATCAACAACAACAACAACAACAAACACCAACATCAATTCGTCGTCGCTGGTGGCGGAAACTGGATGCATCCTCCTTGACGCCACAAGAGCAACAGGACGTCCAATTCTTGTGCGAACGATTGCAAATCGTCATGGATCTCTGCAAGGCACTCGAGTACCTTCATGAACGAAGAATCATGCATCGAGGTGAGTTTGCGACTTGCTTGCTTTTGGAATGACCATGACTACTACTTTCACCCACCTTGATACTAACTCGCTCCGTTCTCCTCTTCTGTCTTCAGACATTAAGCCTCCCAATATTGGCTTTGACAAAGACGGTTGTCTCAAACTTTTTGACTTTGGATTGGCCAAGGAAATGCCACTTCCGGAATCCAACAACGCCGCCAACAGTAATTCCTTTCTCGGCAGTTTTGCTCCACGAACTCCCGCCGGTGCATGCTTGGGAAACACGGGCACCACCCGGTACATGGCGCCCGAAATCATCCGCAAAGAACCATACACCACCAAAGTCGATGTCTATGCCGCCAGCATTGTCTGCTGGGAAGTCATGACACTCCTCAAACCCTACGGAAGCGATACCAGTGGACAATTCGTCAAGGAATGCGTCGCTCTCTACGATGATCGGCCCACCATTCCCTCTGGTAGTCGCCTCGTCACAACCAATAGCAATAACAACAAGCTCACTGCGTGGCCCAAGGCACTCAAAAAGTTGATCCAACAAGGATGGATCAAGGATCAATCGTCTCGATTGACCGCCGGGGAAATGAAGCAAGGATTGAAACTAATCATTGACAAGAAAAAGAGACTCTTGTCCGACATGGAAGCAGCAACAACAACCACAACTGAAGCAGATGTCTCTGTGTCTTCTCCTCCACCACCACAGGAGCTCCCACAGCAAGACCAAGAGCACTCGTTCTCTGTAGAGAATGAAATTCTGCTGTAGAGCATTTTTAAGAATGGCTCTCCCAGCCAGTGCTGCAGCAGTGTTTTCTAAAACGTGAACCTAATAGTGTAAACTAACTATGATTTCCTCTACTCAGTAGCTACTAGCTAGCTTGTTGTTCTTGTCTTTGTGGTTTCTAGCTACGAGCCAAAAGCCGCCTACCTCGAATCATCAGCTTCACGGTCCAGGGCGTAGCTACAGCGTGCGTCTCTGGGCTAGTAGATAGTAGCGGCCAGGCAGCTGCCACGGACACATTGTGCATCCTGTGGCTATCATTCCAGGACCTCATCAGGAGCTCTCTTGACTATTAATAGCTAGCTAGCGAGATCCGACATCTACAGTATCTCCAGCCAGTGCAGACAGGGTCAACACGCTCATTTCGAGACGCATGATATCCTCGAGCTTTTCAGCCTAAAAGAAGCTTTCTCCAGTATCAATAATTTGACCGGGCCGACCGTAGAACCACAGCTTTCTGCGCTTGCTGGCTTGTAGGACATGACATTGTACAACAGCAAGGCTGGATCGGATCCAGATGACAGTACGTGTAAAAAGAAACCTCGAGATGCTGATGGCTGATGGCCAGATGCAGATGGCCAATGGCCAAAGGTTTGGCGCACTGTAATACTTCTCTCGAGACACCAAAAACACAAAATACAAGACCAAACAGACGCTTGCCAATAATTGTCTTCTTTCCCTCACAAGAAACCATCGAGGCAGCGGCGACTATTGTCCAATGTCATGTACCGTACAAGCCACATGTGAACAAGAGCTGCTACAACTACTTGTCTACAAGTGCTTCATCGAACCATCTGCATGCTTTTGGCTGCCATCTGCCATCTACTACAGTACTAGCTACCGGTAGCTACGCATGAGTAGCCCACAATACCTCAATACCTAGCTAGCTAGCTAGACTACACAGTGTAGAGCTGGGCTTTTCCGCTTTTCCTCGTTCGGTGGGAGACATTGACTTTCTGTAGCTCTTTCTGTGCATGCATGTATTTATGATGCCTGATGTATTTATTGATGGACCGGCACAACGAAGAACAATGGAAGAGAATGCCCTTGGAGGCTTCATGTTATGGTGCTCATGAAGGATGAAAGTGCTCATATATGAGATAGATTTATAGATTTAACATCATCAAATAAATGAAGGCGAAGAGGTGGAGTACGATGTACGATACCGTACTAATACAAACTTCGAGTACTATTAATAGTACCGCCATCATGACTGATAGCCATAGCAATGGCCAGTGAAACTACGAACACAGCTGAGTACATGTATGTAAGCTGAGTACCAGCTAGTAAATCAGCTGCGTCCGCGATGTTGTTGGCAAGGGTTGCTACTGCGATGCCGCAGCAAACGTTCCACGCCTCTTCACACAAATCGCAGCCGGCCAGAAGGAATAACTTTGCAAAAAATGACGCCTAAGGCACCTCTGAAGAATGAAGACAATCAGGGCCTCGGCTTGGCAGCCCCAGGCCACGGAGAGAAGAGAGCCCTCAAAAACGAGTCCGCCCAAGGCTCCACGCCGAAACAGGCTTCCGATGAAGATCTACACGAAATCGTTGTGTGCAACTTGGAGTCGAAAGAGTGTGAGGTTACTGACTTTCAACCCCGGAATGCCACAACAGGGGCCGCAGCGTTTGTCGCTGGGAATACCTACGAGAACACTAGCATGATAGATTTTTCCGTGATGAGTTTGCCGGTGCGGCAAGATGCTCTCTTTCCACGCGAATCAGTACCTGGAGCATATGCATACCAAGCATTCCCACGAAGCTACATGTACGAGCCACAGCCACCCTCTGAGCAGACCAATATGGCAGAGAGCAATGTGGATCCTGCAGAGAATGGAGCAAGAACTGGGACAAGTGATGCACTTCTAGAAGAAGGCTTGGTTACGGCAAGGCCGGTTTCTACCCCAATCATGGCGCAAGAAAAGGCTCAACCCGTTGTGTTCCCCACTGAGACTCATTCCAATCAAGATGAGAAGATCCGGAAGAACTCTGCCTTTGCGGTGGCTTGCATTGTTTCGCTTGCTCTGCTTGGCGCAGTGATTGCCGTCTGCGTCTCAATCTCCTCGGACGAAACCGTGACACTTGAAGACACAAAGATTACCAATGGAAGCTCCATTGAGCCAAATGGTTCAACATCTAAAGCGTTGCAACTGGATCTACCCATTCAGTTGCCGAACTCAACCTTGCATGTGTTTGAGAATGATATCAATGGCTCCAGTCCACAGTACAAAGCCTACCGATGGGTCCAGCAAGATCCCTGGATAGGCAACTATTCGAGTGCCAGGATTTTGCAGCGGTTTGTCCTTGCTACAATGTACTTTGCCACAGGCAATAATGAAACCAAATCTGGATGGTTCCATATTGGTGGAGGGACCACAACACTTCAATACCTGAACACATCACTCGAAGATACAATTGCTTTCTATAGCAAGCCATGGGTAAAGCAACAGCCCCCTTACGAAAAAAACACCAGTTCGAATGAGTGGCTTTCATATGAGGCAAATGAATGCTCATGGTTCTCAACAGGCTTTGTCAACCATGAGCAAATCTGCAATTCCTACGGCACACTGGAAATTCTATCTTTGAAACGGAACGGTTTGGTTGGAAGATTGCCAGAAGAAATTTCCTTGCTGTCAAACCTTACTAAGATTAATCTGTGGCGAAATCACTTGGATGGAACCATTGCACCACAGCTTGGGTCCTTGTCCAGCCTCGTTGAACTTAATTTAGGAGTGAACAGCTTTGTTGGGAGCATTCCTTCTGAGCTTGGTCTCTTGTCCAATACAATGAGGCTGTTTTCAGCATTGAACACGAAGGTATCTGGAACACTGCCAGAGGAGTTCTTTCATCTGTCCCACCTGGAAATTCTGAAGCTTGGTCAAACCAAGCTGACTGGGAGCCTGCCATCTGATATTGGCTCCAAGATGCCACATCTGAAGGTGCTCATGATTGAGCGCAGTCAGTTCAGTGGAAGTTTGCCAGCTTCCTTGGGTGCAACTTCTGGCTTGATGAACCTTGCTTGCACTGAAAATGAGTTTACTGGAACAGTGCCTTCCGAGCTTGGACTACTGAGCTCTTCATTGTCAGGTCTATCTTTGGGTGACAACCACTTTTCTGGATCTCTGCCCACAGAGCTTGGTTTGCTAACAAGACTTAACGTTCTGTTTGTGAATGGGAATGAAATGATCACTGGCGCACTGCCATCAGAGTTAGCCCAGCTAAATGGAACTTTGAGAAGACTTTCGTTGCAAGGGACTTCCATCACTGGAACCATTCCATCAGAGCTTTGTGATTTGAGAAGTCTTAAGTTTGATTGCTCAGAGTCTCTCTGTGGTTGCAATTGTCCCTGTAACTAAGTGATGCTTGTACGGTAGTAATATATTCTTGAAAAAGAGCATTCCCATTTCTGGAAATTGCTTGCTAGCTACCTAGCAGCTTCCTTCAGGTGCAAAGCGTAGATCCAACAAAGCTTCAAAGAGCTTCAAAGTTTTGGTCTCTTATTAGTAACTGTTGCTCGTGGGTCGTCCTCACGCACATCGTCTTGTCTGAATCCGTTAATAAAATAGACGTTCAGTTTTTTCCTTCTAACTGTTGCTTGAGAACTGTCGCATTTGACTCTTTGCCGAAATGGGTGGAATCAGAAGCTGACTATTTGCACCAGGCATCATTCTTGGAACATGAATGAATGATCCTTTGGTTGCCAAGCAACGAATGGAACACTTTGCTACTGAAATGGACAAATTTGGAGGCTGCAGGGGAACTGCTTCAAGACTTGCTAACATCTATCATTTGAGAATAGCTAGGATAACATTGGAGGGGCTTGTGTGAAGCTGATTGTTTCGCCTTTTGGAGCCATGAACAAGCAGTTTCAGGGAACTCGGAGGTCGAAAACTTCCAAGCACCTTGTGCGTGCTGTGCCCACGAATGACAGGCCTCGGGCCAACAAAGCCTGAGTGTAATTCCAGCCTACCTAGCTAGCTTGCGACGGCCAGACCTTCGCCGCCCATGAGCCAAAGGAGCGACAGCCGCTGGGGTCCGCCACACCTCGAACACCATCATCGAGCCTCGAGACGTACTCGTATCTGCCTCTTGTTTGTCTGGGCTTCGTATCTTCTTCTTTCCAGTAGCCAGCAGTCATTGGCTCTCGTCGCAGTACGAGCACTGAAGTCCGAAAAGGAAGATACAACAACAGTCAAAGAAAGGAACGATGCCGGGAGATCCTCGCCAAGATCCGCGGCGAGCCGCCGCCGCCATAGGAGGACCACCGCCCCCACCTCCACCACCTCAGCCAATTTTGTTTCCCCCACCTCCGCCTCCTCCTACTAGTAATGGACCTTCAAGTGTTATTTTGTTTGGAGGCGAAGATGCCATGGACGAAGAGGATGAAGACGTCAACATGACGGAGATTCCTCGACACGGCAGCAATAACAACCACAGCAACTTGGGTGGTCCATTGGCTGCTGGTGCCGTTGAGGCTGTGGCAACACCGTTACCTCTTCCCACTCGCATCATGACACCGTCTCCGTATCCCCATCATACCCGTGGAGCCACCAGTGCTCGTTTCCGAAATGCCTTGAACCGTGTGACGACCCATCCCACGTCCGATAGCGAAGCCTGGGCTGCCTTGTTGACCGAAGTACAAACGTGTTGGCGCCAGCTACAACCTACCTTGCATTTGCCCAGTGTGGAAACGCAGGCTCGATTGGAATTCCTAGTGTCTTGTCATGGAGCTCTGCTGCAGTATTTTCCATTTGCGGTACAGCATGCCACACAATTGGCAGAAATGCTGCTGGAGGCCAGTGCCAGACCAGGAGAACCAGGTGGGCCTAGTGCTACCACGGCAGTTGATACACAGAGATTGAGACTCTGTGAAGGACAATTAGAAACCATCTTTCAACGATATCTAAATGCCAAGAGTGGATATGAATTTGCTTTTTTGCAGGAAATTGACAAAGCTACTGCTGCGACAACTGCAACTGCCGCTAAGAGCAACCCCAGTGATACCGATCAAAAAGAAACTGACAAATTGGAAGCGATATCGTTTCTACAGACACCCCAACAACAGCAACCGCTGACAGAGGCGACGACAACCACCACACCTCCAGTCACTGGCTCTACAACCACTGAAAATGGCAACAACAGCACTACTGCAGCTGCAGTCGTGGAAAAAGATACCACGCATGAAGCCGATTTGCGCAAAGTACTAGGAGGAATGGGAGCCTGGTCGGTCGGGCTGTGGATGGTCTTTCTCAAAAAAGTGCAGCGCGATATTCATCGACATGCGCGTACCAGTGTCCCGCACGATATGAGGGCCAAATGGCTGCGAACGAAAATGGTCGCCAGCTACGAATTGGCACTGACACATGTCGCCTTTGGATACAACAATCACTTGATATGGACCGAGTACTTGCAATACGTCAAATCTTGGACTGCTGGTGGTGATAACAATGGAGGAGCAGATCCTCTGATACAGCAACAACAAATGATTCAACTGCGCAGTGTGTATCAACGATTGGTGCAATTACCCATGACGGGACTCGACAATCTATGGCAGGAATACGAGTCCTTTGAACGATCGCATAGTGAAGAACTGGCAACGGCGTTGTTGGCCGATTACACACCCAAATATCAGCATGGCCGAACAGTTTACTTGGAGCGAGCTCGAGTGTATCATTATACAGGCGATTTGCAGCTCGGCCGATTGGCGACACCGCCCGTCACGCGACGCAGTGATACCCAAGGTGGCGCGGATAATGCCGAAGAGGGTGCCGGTGGCAGGCAATCCCTCGAAGATTACATGGCCAATCTAAAGGAAGAATACAAGTTGCTACAAGCTTGGAAGAAACGGGTTAGTTATGAACGAACCAATCCGGAACGAGTCACTTCCGCCGAGTTGCCAAAACGAATGCGACACGCCTATCTCGAAATGGTCAGTGTTTTGACACGACATCCGGAAGTATGGAATATGTGGGCCATGTACGAATACTATCATGCGCACAAACCTGTACAAGCTCTGGCGGTGCTGCAATGGGGACTCCAGTATATTCCCGACTGCACACTGTTGGCACACACACAATCGCAGTTGGTGGAAGATTACTGCGGAGCGGCGCTCATGACAAGCAGTGCTGCTGGACAGTCCAATCTGGCGTTGCAAGTATTAGAACGGTTCCTGCAAACATCGCCCAATACACTCGCATTTTGCTTGTACCAACAAATGGTACGAAGATATCAGGGAATGAAAGCGGCCAGGGCAGTGTTTGCACGAGCCAGACGCGTTCTGACGGAGAATGCAAAGAACTCGGCTGCCGAGACAGATAAAATCAAGCAAGAAGATGGAGCTGGTGAAGACGGAAAGGATGCCTCTGGAGGATCCAAAAGATGGATGGTCACCAATCGATTGGGGCCCAACATTGGTGGGAAGCAAAAACAACCAAAGGATGGCGTGTTGGCCAATCTCAAGGCTGAACCAGCAGCAGACCCAAGCAGCAGTGGCACGGCTGAGGAGGATGCAAGAGCTAGCAAAGTTGGCACGGCTCCAATCACATGGCACCTCTACGCATCCCATGCCACAATGGAACACCGGGTCAACCATTCTCCTGATATTGCGGCGCGGATCTACGAATTGGGGCTACGAAATCACCCGCAATTTTTGACTCGGCCTCCGTTTGTCTTGCGGTATGCACAACTCTTGCTGGAACTCAACGACACGGAAAACTTGCGGGCGTTGCTCACGAGGGCTGTGGCAGCTGCCACTGACGAAGATGGAGCTTCCTCCTCGTCATCCAGCCAAAAGAGTTCTGTCGCCGCTGTCTTGTGGGATATGACGCTCCTGTTCGAAACAATCTTGTCTGGAGCTGATCCAATGGCCAGCCATCTCATACAAGAAGTTGAACGGAAACGGCACATGGCGCTGCTGGGCCCGGACCTGGAAGATGTTGCATCCGGGGGATACCAGTTGGAGTCTTCCACATCCACCACTATTGGAGCACAAAAGTCGACAATTGGTGAACTGCTGATCCGAAATGATGGATACGACCTTAGTTCACAGGTCGTAAACGGCATGGCCCGTTCGGTCAGTGTATTGGAAGTGATGGGACTCTGGGGTTCGAATGTCATGAGTGCGGAACTTTCCATGAAGCAACGCAGTCAGCCAGTGAGATCAGGGCTGGAGATGTTGGAGGAAGACGATAACCCAGCTGAACGATCAAGTGGGGCCAGCGATTCCACCTACCAGCGTAGGCTCTTGTACCAACGAATGCATGAGTCGGGAATGCTGCACGGTGGTGGTGGTATGGGAGGCGTGGATAGTGGTGGTAGTGCCGCTGGCGCCGGGACCAAGATTTTGTCGGCACGAGAACGGATGGCAACTGCTGGTTCTGCCGGTGGCGGGACGAATACGGCTGTCAACATGGCAATTCAACAGCAGCCGGAATGGATTCGGCCACTTTTGTTGATGTTGCCCATGTCCAAGCTTCGACTTCCCATGCTCTCCAAGCCCCCACCTCACATGACCGAAATGGCATTGCAACAGCTAATTCAAAACCCTCTTCCGGCTGAACGTCCACAAGACGACAAGGGGGGTGCAGCCAGGAACCAACGAAATGCACGTGCCTCAGGCAAGAAGCGTTCGCTTAACGGAGGCGGAGACTCCTCTGACGAAGATGATGGCGCCACAGGGAGTGGTGGCTATGGGATGCAGTTTCGAGCAAGACAGCGGGCAAGAATGTCGGCTTCGGATCCAGGTGCTGAAGCTAATTAAAATAGCATTTTGATTATGCTCGTCCGAACCCCTTTTGTGTCGTTGCCCCGTGTCTACATCATACATTGAACGTGGACGAGGCTAAGTTTCCCACGCCTTCCTCCAACCAAAACAGGGCTTCAAGCACCATGAACCGTGAACAAGACTCCCCGGGTACCCGGTAGTGGTCCCATTGTTTCTCTGTGTCTCCGTCGCCGCCCTATCAATCAAGCACAAAAGCTGTCAAAGGATCACTACGAACCATCAAACAAGTCCATCCTGGCCAGTGATCCTAGAGCACAGTTCGATTACAATCATACATAATATTTACTCATCAATAATTTAGTTCCAAATTGAATTACAAGGGTTTCATTGTTCCCCCTGTAGCTAGCAGACTTTTCTTTTGCGTGACGTCGATGCCACCAGTTGTTCTTTGCCTGTCATTGGTAGGGGAAAGTATGGACATCGGGTCCGGAGTGAAAGAACGGGACAGCAACATCGTACCGGTACCCTAACATACTAGTACAGCTGCTACTAGTAGTACGTGTTACCGCAATCCAGTATCCGATGTTCAGACCGGAACGCGGTTTTCGAGAACTTTGGGGAGTTGGCAAGTCCAGCTTTTTCCTTCATTCTGATTTCGCCATTTTGCTGCTGGCTGGCTGTGATTGCAAAAGCAGAAAGCATACGGTAGGAGGGCAAAGAATCTGCTTTTGCAAGTTAAAGCGCAGCTTCAAAAGTTTTATTTCTATAATGTAGATTGACCAGCCGGCAAATGGCGTTTGCCCCTTCTGATACGTGCACAGGCAATGTTGCCAGTATCTTGTCTTACGAACAGCATTCGCCCCGACCTTGACACCATCCGAACTGAAAGTTGGTAAAGTTCAATGGCGGTATCGCGTCGCACATCTCCTGCGGTACTTGCGCTGTCACGTCGTTGCCGTCGACCGAAAATGATTCGAGTGCTGTCAACAGTGCCAATTCACTTGGCAACGCACCGTTCAATGCATTGGTATGCATGGCCAAGTCTGTCAGTGTTGTCATCAATCCCAACTCCGACGGGATCTCACCTTCAATGAGATTGTCACTGATATCCAACAGAGTCAAGAAAGCGACGCTCGAGGCGGTGTCAGCAATGCCTTGCGGAGGAAGCGTCCCTTGGAATTGATTCCCGCCCAATGCCAATTGTTGCAGACTGGACATTTGTGGAACGACATTGGTAAGCAAATCATCGATACTCCCTTGTAGATCATTACCAGTAAGTCCCAAAAGTTGTAAGGCCGACAAACCCGAAAGCTCTGACGGCAGCATACCGCCCAGTCGATTCCCTCCAATTTTGAGCGCTTGGAGGTTGTTTGACAAGAGACCAATTTCACTCGGCAATGCCAGGCCAACCGTATCTCTATCACCACCTTGGTCCGGAGCAGCTGCACTCATTCGATTGCCACCCTTGATATCAAAATGTCGTAGCTCCGTCCAAAGCCCGATTTCGGTTCCAATCGTACCGGTGAGTTTGTTGCCACTGACATCAAAATCACGCAGAGATGTGAGTGAGGACCAAATATCGTTTGGTACGGGGTCTTTGAAATTGTTGTGATGCAGACTCAGGAGCTGCAAGTTGGTGAGGATGCCCAACTCAGACGGCAGCGATCCTTCCAAATCGTTCCCTGCCAACACCAGAGACGTGAGTGTTGTCAACCCCCACTGCGTTGGAAGCGACCCGATCAAGTGGCTATTGGCAATCACCAAGTCCTGCAGGAAGGGCATGTACTCGTGCAAATTATCCGGCAACGGCGCTCCTTGGGGATTGCCACCCTCGAGCAGCAGATCGCAACTGGTACAATGAAAGGACGTCAATTCGGTCAAATTTTGCATGGCCGGTGTCAATAAATGTGTCAATGGACTGTCAAAGTAGAGTAGCTGATCAAACTGTATGGCTTGCAAATGCGACAACATGGAAATTTCTTCCGGCATGGTTCCTTGGAATCCTTCCATGTTGGACACGGCTAGACGAGCGATGGTGTCATTGGCATGGCACGTAGTTTCGTCGTTATCGATATTCTCTCCAATATCATTATTCGCCCACCACCAATCACACTCGTGAATATTATAATCCAGACCTCCTTGCGATGGTGTTGTTTGTTGTCCGGTGTATGTGATCCATTGGGGTCCATTAAAGGCATAGAAAAAGGTGGCCATGGCAAAACGCTGACGAATCCTCCAATCGGGGTAGGTTTCCACCTGAGGATCCTGCAGTAGAAATTGATACGCCTGGAATGCCGGCAAGGACTGGTCCGTGGTAGCATCATGATGAGTGATATTATTAATGAAGACGGTGGTGCTGTTGTGTAGAACGGATTGGATGTACTGTATGGTGTCTTCACTGATCAGGACCGGAGGAGGAGTGGGAGGTTCCGAATTTTCTGCTGCTGCTTGAGGACCTTCCGTCTCGTTGTTGTAGTCCGTGTTGACGACCTCAATTTCCTCTTCTGGTTGCTCCAGTAAATAAGAGCCATCGTCCAAGTCGAGACTGGTGTTGTAGTAGTTGGAAGTAATATTTGTAATCATCATGGTAGCATTTGTAGCATTTTCGTCTTGCGGCGGCTGCGTGTTGGTATTCTCCTTATTACTCTTTTGTCCAATCGACGCCAATGTGACGGGAATGACCAAGATGAGGGTAAAGAAGAGTCCCAAGACCATGGTCATGGCACGCGACGGTGCCAAATTTTCGAAATATCCCTTTCGTTCCCTGACGGAATCGTCCATTCCCAAGACGGTGGATTGATCGCCAGCATCCGCATCGCTGTACGAACTGCCTTCGGTTTGATTGCCATTCGTCTTCTTATTGCCACGACGACCCTTCTTGCCTCTTCTTCCACCCGACAAGCGGGCGACAGCCGAAGACGCCTTGCGATCGTCGGCTCTCTTGTGACGACGATTCTTTTGCAATTGACCGGCGCTGTGACTGCGACGTCCACTTATTGGTGAGGGTGGTTCTTCAGTGACTCCTGGTAAGCCGTTCTTGTTTTTGCCACGCGATGCCTGATGATGGGAGTAGCTGGTGTCGTCCATACGGCTCGAGTCCTCCATGTTGTTCTGCTGATGTCCACTGAACCCCAAACTGAAGTTGGAGCTCTGAAAGGAAGACTCGGAGGCATCGCCAGAGCTGGTGGTGCGAAACACGGCTTGTTCCTCGTCGTACCGACGGCTCGGTTTCAAACTGCTCTTCATACTACTTTACCAACGAGAAGAACAGAAGATCTTGACGGTGCAGCAAGGATACCAACAAAAGAGGGAGGGTAGGATGATGAGGCTTTCAGAACGGAAACCTGCTGGGGATCCTCTTTCTTTCAAGCTAGACTAGCTAGGCGATCGATCAGGGGAGATAATAATGGGACCAGCAGCTATAAAGGAGGGGAGGATGTCCATCGATGTACAGTAGTAACATGGATGGCCTTTTTGTAACCAAAGCCGTAACCATAAAAGGAGACGATGACCGTTTAGTCGACTGTTGGGATGATTGAGATATTGAGATGGTGAACTGGTGACCGGTGAGTTCCGGTGGGAAGGAGCGCTGAAGGAGCCAGTCAACGGCACGAATCCGACACGTCAGCTTGCACCACTGTGAAAGGGAACGCTTCGTTAAATCAAATCTATGTCTACCAGAGAAGAAAAGAAGGAGCCGGATATAACAATCAGGGCAAACGGAGATGATTTGTAGAGATGATTTAGGAGATCATGCCAACACCATGCCTGTACGTGACCGTGGTGCCCGTGCGTGCCAGCTCACTGTTCAGGTTGCGCTACTTTTACCCCCCGCCAACTTAGGTACCGGTACGATACGCGAAAACTGTACCAATAGATAGATTTAAAGATGTAGCCGAAGGAACAGAAGGACAGCTTGCAGGACTGTCCATGTCGGAGGTCCAAAGGCACCCAAGCACCCAAGAGGCATCCGAAGATACTGGTCGGCAGGACGAGGAAAGCGGTACGGCTGAGGCTGGCCATGGCAGAAAGTGTGTGACCACGGCGCGACCACGGCATGAAGCAAAAAGGATGATGCATGTCGCTCGCTCCAGGCAGGCCAAAGAGAGGCTAGCTGGCTGTCCAGTTGGGGTGCCCGGGATGCAGGGATCCTCCTGGGTCGGTTGATTGCTTGATTTGTTTACTCATTCCAACATGCGTCGGTGCAGGTTGATATGATGAAAACAAAGGCCCGCTTCATCTCTTCCACAGACTGAAACATTGGGATCTCTAGGATCGTCTGGAGGTGACAGCCCCTTCCGTAGTGAAGCAATCAAAGAGCCAATGCACGGTCAGATAGATAGACGTCGTGACGCAAGGAAAGAGCAACCAGCACTCACCCCGCAAAAGGATACTTCTTCGTACCACCGGTACCCCGTCTCGTGACCGTTACACCAAACCGATGACCAAACACGTCGAGCCCTTTCCTGTGGACGACAAACTCGTCCACCCCCCGCAACCAGCAGATCATTTTGACCTTGGTCATGTAGTCCATCTCGTGAATCATTTGCCAAAACCATCGAATCTGAGGGTGTTCATCACCAACAGCAGAGAATTCTCCCCTATAGAATGTGAGGCTTTTCCACTCCTCCACGCCCAGGCTTGGAAAGCCTCCAAGACACACCTGGAGCTCGTCCGGTTGCAATAGCCATGACAGGTTCTCGTCTGGTAACACGCTCCTGAACCCAGCAACCAAAGCCTGCAATTGAGGTCGAACACGCTCCAAAAGACAATGTCGGAATACGGCTTCGTGAAACTCTTGAAAGTTCTCCACGGTAACCTTCTTTGTGGCCCCACCCGGTACCAAAGGGATGTCCTCGGTTCCTCCATTCGCCGCCTCCGCGGGGAGAGAGAAAGTCAAGAGGCTCATTGCGAGAAACTTTTCCAACTCGTTTTCATCCGACAGAGCCTGAAAATACGTTAGGCTGGTGTGCAAGGATGCATCCATCTTTCGAAGATCATTCATCCCCAAGGGGTAACCTGACAAGTACTTGTAGATGAGATCTGAGCACTTCAGCGTAGGAAGCGGATACCCTAAAACGAAGGCCCGTCCCACGGCACGGCCAAACACAATGTAATAGTCTTCCCAGCTCCGCCCAGGGGTTCCCTGGAAGGAGGGATCGGGCTCAAACTCTGCTGAGGTTCCTATCCGTTTCCACATTCCCAAGTTGGGATCCATCAGCTTCTCAATGAGCTCTTGGATCCAAGCTCTCGTTCCCCCTGACTCGTTTTGGCCCGGTTGGTTGACAACGCGAACTTTCCACCATCTCTCAATATCAGCATTGGGGAGGCCCATGATGATATTCATGCTATCCTCAAGAAAGTGAGACCTTCGCACCGATGCGCCCGCGACGGCACTCAGCAGAAGCCTGGAGCACAAGTTTTGCAAAAAGTCGTGTTTGGCTTTGATATGCTTTCTCTGAAAGTGCAGAACGTCCTCGTAGTTGGCAATTTCTTGCCCATTGGCTGGATCCTTGAAACTATACTGGATTCCAACTGCTTCCTTCACTGGGACCAGTTCCAGGGTTCCCTTGTTTAGCCGAGGCACAAAACACTTTTCTTGGTTTCTCTTGTCCTGGTCACTGACACGGTGCCATTGAAAGTTCTCGTCGTTCACGTGGAACAGTCGTTGCCAAGACTCTGTAGTTGGTGTCCACGCCTTTTCCGTCTTGGCTGGTTGTGTGGAGAGTGATGATGGGAATTGAAATCTTATTTCTTTGGCGACGCTGGCGGAAGCATTTCGAACCAATACGCTGCAGCCATCCACGGTCCACATCAAATCTTCTTCTGGCTCGACGCTTGGTGCTGTCGCGGCCACCCATCGCGTCTTTCCCTTGGGCGACATGTTACTGCCCAGAAGTATGCGGAGCTTTGATCCTGCTTGGGCGTTCGGTGGACAGGTTACTCTATACTTGTTGCCGTTGTGGGATGCCATGAATGTGGCGCCTGGTTGGATCCCAGAAGGAATGATGACGATCCCTTGACATCGTCCCTGCGGTGGTGTCCATTTTACTTTGATCATTTGACCGGGCTGGCCACCATCCGGGCACTTGACCTTCAGTATCACTCCTTCATCGGGGCTTGGGGTCGAGAAAAAGGCACCCGGCCGAGCATTGCGGGGGATCCTAATCACCGCATCTTTCTGTGCCTCTGTGGATTCTTCATTCCGCTGTGGGGTGGCTTCTGCGACGGTGGCCTCTGGTACGTTCCCACTTGTGCTGGCGGTTGCGATCGGCACATTTTCTCTTCTTCGTCTATTGAACAGCATTGGATTGATGGGGAGCATTCATTGTGAACCCGATCCCAGACAGCAAAAAGATGGCTCAGACGTGGATGAATGCCCGACAGAAAAAGTCCCAGCGTGGCGTGGAAAAACACCCCGCAAAGCTCCGAGCAACCTGAACAGAGGTTTGTCGGTGTCAAAGGACTTGCTGATCTATGCCTCTATTATAATTATCGTTTCTTTTCTTCCTACCGGTAGATCCTTACCATGACCGGGAGCCGCAAGGAGTGTGAGTCGAGTGACAGTCAATGTTCTTAGACAGAAGGAAATCCAACAGAAGCAGTATCGGATGTTTCTCCGATTTCTTGTTTCGCGTAAAGATCGGGTGAAACTCCAAATTCGTCGGGGTGCAGGAAGTAGTGCAAGCAGTCGGCCCGACTCCGAACGTAAATGAGAGCTTTCACAAACTGTTCCAAAGTTGTTTGATTTGGATTCTTGTCGTCAAGTTTCGAATGCATCTTGCCTCGATGAATCATTGCCTCACGCAGGATGGAATCAGTTAAACGGGCACGGATGCGGATGGTCAACTGATCCAAGTGACGGCTTGAACGGAGGGCACAAACGAGCGCATACCATTCGGAAGATTCGCTGGTGGGCGCTGGTGCCTCGTGACTGTCCATGGTGCACCCTTCGACGGACAACCGGCACAGGCGGTTGTCGGTCAAGATCAACACTGACTGCGTCAATCCTTGGATGGAATGTTCCAAGGGCAAGTCTCCTACGACTTGCAAGTCTTGTAGTCGAGGAAAGCATTGGCCAATGAGGTTCCAAGACGTACCAGAAAACTGAAATAGATATTCAGGACGGTTTTTGGAATACAATCTCATCTTCGTGATCTTGTTGCTTTGCAAATGCTCCAACGTGGTCCTCAAACGACGATCGTCCCAGTGATCGAGCTTGGTAGAAACTTGCGTCAACGTGGGCACCAATCATTGATGAAGCAACTGGCAAACTGGTACGATCGAATCATCAGAATCGTCGCGCAAATCTCTTGACATGGACAACGACAGTCCGGTGATAGTTCGGTCCATTAACTCTTGCTCGATGTCCTGCAATCGATAGGAAAACCTGGGGAGTGGATTGCCGAGAAACCAATGGAGATTCGGTGATCGGCACCATCGTCAAAGTGCGAGCGAAAGAAGCTAAAGCACAAGCGCATGTTGATCTCCAAAGGGGAAGAGGGCGAGATTGCTGCTTTGAAAGAAAGAACTTTGTCGAATGAAGTGTGGACGACAAAATGAGATACATGCCTAGCTAGTGACGGCAACGGTTCGGTTCGTCGTGGAGCTGAGGCAGCTCTTACTAGTAATTCGAACGGACGCGGGAGTCGTTCTAAATTGGATCGTTTTCTTTTTTGCAAATCGTCGAAATATAATGCAATTTATTTCAAAAGAGAAAAATGTACTAATGTACTGTACCCGGCTGTACGGTCCGACGTAAGCTTTATATTTGTTCATTAAATCTTTCCAGTGCACCTTCAGGGAGTACGTGCTGGTTAAATAAACAGTCATGCTTCTTGGCATGACTCTTGCTTTCTGATACTTAGATTTAAAGGCAATTTCTTTGATTGTCTCCAGTTATTCGCTGCCGGTACAAGTGAAGCGTATGGAACAACACTGTTTTAGAACAAACAAAACGATTGCCTGAATTCCAGCCAGTCCTCAGCCTGCCGCCTGCATGACCATCTCACTCTCCGTTTTTTTGCAGTCCACCCCGAACACCATGCAACCTCCGCCACCTGACTCCTCTCTGGCTTTATCTACCACTTTGGTAGACAATCATGAGCTCCCGAGTTGACCTTCCTTCCGCTCATACAGTACTATCCCGTTCCGTGCATTACTCGTACTCGCAATCATCTCATCCTCCACCGTGTCTCTGGCTTTTTGTAGACTAGCCCACTTTTTTATACTTTTGTCATGGTCATCCGCAACACAAGTGTAATATTATGAGTGGGTACTGGTCGCGGCGCTGCCCTGCGACCGCTAATAGCTAGCTAGCGCTACCCATGGGAGCTTCATGGACGGTACCGTGTCGGTTGGATGGTGTATGGTTGAACGCTTCTTGACTTTTGGAAGCTTCCCAAGCCCCTTGCCACTCCCACCCCTTAATTCTTGCAGCCATCCGAGTTCCCACTGAAGTTGATGTTGCCTACTCTTTTCCTAATTAATTAATAAGTCATCTCGGGCCTTCTGCTTCTGCTCTTTTGCTTGACCGCAACGCTGTGACTGATGACCTTCACTGTGATACGGCAGTACGATTGTACCGGCATTGAACTATTCACTCGACGAATTTACATGTATGTATGTACATTGTACATGGGACATTGGAGCTCAAACAACTTACCGCTACAAGACAAGCAATAAAGCCACAATAAAGAAAAGAGAACCCCTCAACCCCTCCACAGTCAAGACATCAAGAACAAACGAGCAAAGACCCCGTGATGATCCAGAATCCAGAGACTCTGGCAAGATCACCTTTCTCATTGCCACTGCTTGTGTGAAGGAACTAACTTGAGCGTTTAGTTAGCGCATTCCCGTCTTCTTCTTCTCATCGCAATTGAAATAATACTGTAGTGGTTCTGTGATAGTGCAGTGGACGTCTGGCCATCAGTTCAAGTTTGTTGCAATTCAATCTACTGTATCATGCCTCCCGCTCACATTGTAATCGACATGGATGCGCCTCCTTCCAAATCGGCCATGAGGGATGCAAGCACACGACGAGAGAGCGTTCCGGGACGCCCCAAGAGCAGTACTACTACAACTACTAATGGTCGACGACGAGAAAGCGGTGTCGCCCTGCCCAAGAACAGTTGCAGGAGCAGCACGGGTCGAAGGGAAAGCAGTGTAAGCAAGAGTAAGAGTCCCACAAGACGAGACAACAACAACAACAACAACAACAAGAGTCCTACTACTAGTAAGACTACCCGAAGAGAGAGCACCAAAAAGCCGAAACGAGACAGTGTCAGCAACACGAACGTGCGAAAAGAGAGTAGCACTATTATTTCCACCAATAATACGACCACTCCGGAATCACATCATGACAACAATCATCATCATCATCATCAACATAAGAAGAACAGTCAACGCCAGTTACAAATGTTGGAACCATCGCCTCCCAGTATTCCTCGTCGGCTGCTCCTGGAAGATCCCATGGACGGTCCCTGGCAACGCGCCAAGACGGAATGGAAGGATCCCTGGAGTTGGTTTGCCATTGACGATTGTGGACGATTGTTGGATGTGGAAGCATCCTTTGGAAGCACACAGACCGTCTACAAGTGGATTCTATTCGGAATCACCATGGGTACCACCATTTATCTTTGGAGTACGGCCGACAGTGCCTGGTTCTTGGGGAATCTAGATCACTGGGCGCTCCTCTTCTCATTACTGTATCAGGCATTATCTCTGGGAAATGGACACTTTCAACCACCCCAACCGGTCCACGTCGAAGGACTCAATCTCTACGTCAAACTGTTTTGGATACTCTTTGAAGTTGCGGCTCATTTGCAGATTTTCACGACCTTGATGTTCTGGGTCATTGTCTATCCCCAACAACACAGCGATATACCCATTGGGTATGATATCTTTGGATTGCACGGAGTCGTACTGGTGGCCGTATGGGTCGACGGAATGCTCTTGAATCGGATCCCCGTTCGTGTCAAGCATTACTTTGCCGTACTCACCGTCGATGCCGTCTACATGCTGTGGACCATTATTCATGCCGCGGCGGGATTGGGCAATGGCACTGACGGCAGTACCAGCAGTGCCATTTACAGGCCTCTGGATTGGAAGAATCAAACCGTGCAGTCCGTCTTTTTGATGATTGCCATGTTGACCGTATTCGCACCATTGCTCTTTGCCTTTCAATACTGCATGAGTCTCTACACATTTCCATGGACGTGGAATGGCTCTAGATCACGAAAATGCATCGAATTTGACATGAGCCGCAGTATGGCCAACAACCCATCCTCGCGGCGTCGACCACAACCACCGCCTCCTCCCCCACCAACTCCTACACCCGTCGACACAACCCCTCCGTCTCCCCAAAAGAAGAAAAAGATTGTCGACAATAGTACGGCGGAAACCAGTCGCACCAGCAGTCGAAAATTGGTGGATCAGACCGTAGAGGCAGTCGCACCGAAACAACCGCGAAAATCAATACTACAGACAAAAAAGCATACCAGCTCCTCGAACGTTTCCGCCATTACCGGTGCTGTGCATGTCAATCCACAACAACCACCGGCCGCCAAACGGCCGCCAAAACGAAACAGTATTATCAACAAGACGCCCAACAAAAAGAACAAGAAAAAGTCACAACAACAACAAACAGAAGTGCCCTTGATGGATATTGCCTAGTCTACCTATCTAGCACTGTGCAGTATTTTCTGTACAGTAGTGGGCGGCAAAATGATGGGCATTCACACGTACTTACTTTCACACACACAAACACACTCGATCAGACGACAAAGTAAGTTACAAACAAACACGAAAAACAAGTACACGCCATCACCAGCGATTGACGAAAAGGAGGTCTACCATTCCTGGGAAGAGGGATGATTTCGGGATACAAAGTCTTCATTCGCTGCTGCTCCATTTTGCCACACACTTCAGTCATCTTCCACCCTCCCTGCTTCCGACATCCATTCTTTACATACATAAATCGACCATGCTTGCATGCATTCTAATGGTAACATTAGCATACATTAGTTAGATCCAAACGTTGTCACGTAGTTTTCTTCGTTATGGCAGAAACTCGGCTCCAATCAAACTGTTTCTTCAACGGCAAGACAAACTGATAGAACTGTGGCAACATCGAGAAACCATTTCAAATCGAGCAATCATTGAGTACGAAAGGGACTGTTTGAATAGGCGCAGTGTACGGCTGTAGACTGGCACTTGCTACCTTCTACATGATATTCTAAAGGCCGCAATGCAAGGATGCTGACCTGCTACCAGTATTCAAGAACGAGAAGCCAGAGGCGAGGGACTTTGCAGGTACAACCAAGATACCCAAGCCATTTATAGGCTCTTTGCTAGCTAATGTTGGCGATGTGTCCTTGCCGATCCACATGGAAGTACCGATACCCTCCGGACAATAAAATGCAACTCCACAAGCCCCACTGAATCGTAACGAATCGAATCTCACCAGTATATCACATCTTCTCCACATCAAAACTCTAGTTACTGGCTCTTTAGCTTTGGCGGTTGCTGCCGCAGTGATTTTCCAGTTTGCTTTGGACTTTGACAGCAGCATCGTTGCCAGGCATAGTAGCTTGCCAGTACCAACCACGGCATGATTGCTTGCAACCAACGATAAAGGAAGATTTGTTCGAGCACAATCCATATCAACAACCATGCAAACGTAACTGACAAACCTACTCCTTGGACCCAAGGAGTTTGTCGATTGCCAAACTTGGCCAGGTCTTTGCCCCAGTTGAGCCACTGAAGTACACCCTCATCATCAAATGCCGTGACCGCTCGGCATAGTTGGTTGTTGGATAGACAAGCCATTCGATAGGGCGCCAGCCACCAATGAAACAAGTCCTGTTCTGACGCCGAGAACCACGGTAAGCGTTCTACGATATCTGGCGCCACCTCCGATATCGATACGTATGCGGAGGTGTATATCCCATTCACAACAATCGTCCCGGCACTGGTCAATGGCAAGTAGGCGCCGTCTCGGTTTGCCCGGTCAATTCTCACAATCTCGGTGTACAGCACCGTAGTGTTGTAGTCGCTTCGATGGTGGTCAGAAAGAGACGATCTAAGTAATAGATCTCCGTTTTGCAGTTGATCAGCACGAATAGGTTCGCTGTGCCCCTTGGCATAGATCAGATGACTTGCAGACAACTCCAGAGCTGTCCTTGGACTGTCGTAGGTGTAGATTTGTAGGTATTCCATGGGAACAGAAGGGTGGTAATGGCCAAAGCCGTAGACAGACTGATACACTGGTGGTTGGTCATGTCGTGCAGGTTCCACCATGATTCTGTCTCCCGTGGATAAATCCTTCATGGCCACAGCGCCCCTTTGCTCCACTTGCACAGTCATGTCCTCCGAAAAGCATCCAATGTTGTTGGTGCTGACCGTGCAAAGCACCACCAAGTTACTAAATGGCGCCGTGGGGGTAACACAAATGGTCACTGTTTCATGTTGCGAGTCCATGTCGAATGTCCTCGAGCACACCACCGCACCGCTGGAATCCATGATTTGACACAGTGCACTACTATCTGTTCCCGCGGTTAGCTGGTACACCAATGAAACTCCTACTTTTGCCGATTGACCACCGATGCTAATACCTGGCTGCAGGACAATGGGCTCCCGGAAGGAGTCCGCAATAAGACCCTCGTCCTCGGGAAATTCCTTCCAGGGTATGTGATGATAATAAGGGGCACCAAACATGGGCACATTATTTGCGTTGATTTTTTTCACATCATTTTGGGCCAAGACGTGGTCAATGGCAGCCAGGAAACCTAGAAAGGAGAGCACACTCCTTACAAAGCCCATCATGTTAATCCCAATCATGACGATGCTGAGATAGATGGATCAGTTAGGTGCTGGTGAAAGCTCGGGGTGGTGTGCAACAGCTTATTGTAAACAAGGTGTTTGGAGGTTGAAGGGAGGCAGGTTGGTTGGAGGATCCGGAGGGAGGATTGCACTTCTGGGTTTACAGTTTACAAGCATGTTGATGTTCGCATAAGTTGTCTAAACAAAGCTTGATTTCAATTTCGCCAAACGCATGGATACGTTAAGCAAAATTCTACCATTGGTTGCCTGTTTAAGGTTTCGGCGTGCAGCTTGGAACGCGAAGATTTACAAGAACATGTTCGTGAGTAGTACAGGACGATGGGCCACCCATCACGCCCTGGACTCCACAGACAGCATCATCCACTGGCCGCAGAGACAATGATGTTGGATTGGTTCAGGGCTCTAGCTAGAAGAGGGTAGGTACAAAGGATGCATTCTGTCAGTTGCTTCCATCCTCTTCTTTCGGGGATAGCGGTCCATGATGAGCTCTTAGGCTCCTTGAAATGCAAGCCAAGAAGTAGATGATCCTACGTTGCTCTTTTGCACTATGTATAAGCTAGCTGAAACGAAGCAAGCAACACTTTGGAACTAACTGGGGTCTAATGATGACTTCATGTAAGTATGTATTGCTTGGGGCGGAGTGTTGTGAAGCAGCCAATGGAGGTGCGGAGTGGAAAGCCCAAAACCGAGAACTGCACCGTGTCTGCACCTCGATCGAGAGGTCAATTCGATAATTCGATTAGTGTATAGATACCGTTCGACCATAAGGTTAGAGTTCTGTTAAGACGCCAGCCTTCCTGGGTTCATTGGCACTGAGGTGTTCCACTTCTCGCAACGTAAACAAAAAATTGGTCGGAGTGCACCTGGGTGCTATTTTTTTGCCATTTTTTGAACCGGATTCCCGAACAGCCTGTAAGTCAACCGTTCCAGAGGTGAAGGCTACGTAGATGGGTAGTGGAGGTGCACGGATCGCAGGAAGATGGAGATATATTTGTGGAAGAGTAGGTAAAATATGCTTCATTTCCCTGAAATGGCATTTGAAATTTTGCAATTGAAAAAGTCCAGGTACGACCAAAACGGAGTTGGCTTCACAAAGCTTGAGGTCGGCAGGTGCGGAAGCATCCTCATCATTCATTCATCTCCCGTGGCATTCCACTGGCTTCATCACTCGATCATCATCGACCAACCGTATCTGATCTTTCTACTGCCTCTCACTCACTCCAACGCCAAATTTGGTTCCCTCCTGAATACGTTGCTGTATCGTATAAAATTATATTCAGTCAAAAAGAAAGAGCGACCATGCAGAGCCGAAGACGACCAAGAGCAACGGCTACTACTCGAAGCACATGTAGCAACAGCAGCACCTCTGGCAACTTGTGCCCTTTGGTGCTGTTGGGATTGTTATTGGTGGCGGCGGCAGGTCCTCGACAGGTGGCGTCTAGTAGTACCGATGGTAGTAGTAGTAGACAGTTGCTCCGCACACGCATTGTCGGAGGAACTCCTGTGGATTCCGGTGTTCATCCCTACTTTGTGGAGTGGCAAGGAGCGCATTGCGGCGGCACAGTGATCCATGACGACTTTGTCATTAGTGCGGCACATTGCGTCAACCCCAACATTCCCGCACACGCCGCCAACAAGCGATTATATCTCAACTCGACACGACGCAACACCGGAATCGTGCGAGAGTACACTACACAAATTGTTCATCCGAGCTTTCAAAACAATGGCCATGGCTACGAGTATGACTTTGTCCTACTCAAAACGGACACCAGCATGTTGGTGGATCCCTACGGCGCACCGACGGGCGTGCGACCCATACAAATGAACCGAGACCCAATGTTGACAGTACAAGACAATGGCGTACTGGCCGTCGGCTATGGACAAATCAGTGAACACAACACTGCTCTCAGTAATGACCTACGAGATGTACTCCTCTACTATGAGGACGATACCATATGCGGGAATCAATATGCCGAACCAGGAAGATTCAATCCACAAACCATGTTCTGCACGTATGTACCCGGTGGAGGCAAAGATGCTTGTCAGGTACGTTCCCACTTACTTGGCCGCTACTAGCTAGCTAGCCAGTCATGACTGGCTAGCTAGAATTTCTTCTAGCTAGCTAGCCAGTCATGACTGGCTAGCTAGCTACTTTACAAGCGCGGCTAGCTAGAATTTCTGCTAGCTAGCTAGTACACGCAACAAGATAGTAATCTCACGCTTCTATAACTTTGCTGCTATCACAGGGAGACAGCGGCGGTCCTCTGATTGACTGGTTTATGGGGACACTCACGGGCGTGGTCAGCTTTGGAGAGGGCTGTGCCAGAGAAGACTACGCCGGTGTCAATGCCAGAATAGATGCCGTCGCCGATTGGATTGACGTGCAAATCTGTGATTACAGTGACTTTCCACCGGCATCTTGCCCATCCAAGACGCCACCGGTCTCCAACGCGCAGTCGCCCGATGCAGGGGAAGATGCCCCTGTGACGCCAGGATTGGGTTCGGGGCAAGGAGGATCGGCAGGAGGACCCATACATCCTGGTATTGGAAGTGGCTATGTGGAAATTGGTAGAGGCAATGATGGATCTTCCGAACAAACACCGCTTTACAATCCTCCGTCTTCCATGGCGGGAGGATCTCATGGCGGAAGCAGCAGTTCCAGTGCACGCGGGGATGCCTTCCCTGGTGAGGGTCCGGCTGTGGCAACCCACGCCATTACCATCAACGTCCGCTATGGACCATCACCGCAATATGTCACCTGGAACTTGGCGCTGGGCGACGATGATGATAACTGGACCGATCTGTCCCGTTCGGGACGAGGTGAACCCGGCGTAACGACTTCCTCTACCTTTCTAGATATGAAGAGCGGGTGGTACCGGTTCCAGCTGAATCCTTCGAGTCCGGGAAATGTTGTGTGGGCATCCGTCATGGGACCACGGGGCGAAGGAGTTTGGTCGCAATTAGAAGGCTTCTCCGGTGCCCAATACAACATTTACTTTGAGATCAACAGCATCGGCATTCCATGTCTCGAACATTGTGCACCGCCGGTGCGTTCCAGTCCGCCCTAGCTAGACGATGTGATCTTGATGACAAAACATACAATTGCGAAACCGTGAGAGAGCATCACGAGCTACTTGTTCCTATTACGTCAGTGGATCATCAGCTGCGATAGAGGCAGAGGAGATGCTATTGAGGCAACCACAATCTTCAGGGTACACAGCCTTGAAGTTCTGTTTTGAAATTGGCGTTGCCATGAACGAACCTGGACTGGTGCATGACGCCAGTTTTTTTAGCGCACTCGCAGCGTAGGAAAAGTGCGAAAACGAGACTTTTGTGGAAGAACATTTATAAATGCATATGACGTCGTCGATGTTCTGCCGAGGGGAAGTAATAGAGTCTGGCTTCCTGTGATCAAAATGATCTGTACTTACCATTCCGACAACTACACACAAAATGCGTTCCTTTTGGAAAAGGAGAAAACGATATATTAACCATCAGTGTGGTCCCTAAAATACCTATTTAGATTACTATTTCATAACTTCATCTCAACACATAGAAACAGTCTGCGACGAACTCGAAGGGATCTCTCAGAGGGAGTAGAAGACCATCATGTTGGAAGCTGGCTAGAAGCGGTGACGAGTGAAGGTCAAATAATCCGTACGGTAGACGGGAAGCTGCTCTAGGTTTAATCATTACAGGCATCGGCCTCCTAACTAGCTACCAGAGATAGACAGTAAAAACACAGCTCTTTTGGGCACCTCTCGAGACCATCACCACCAGAGGGTAGGGTGTGTGGGGGAAGTGCATGTATAATCTGCTGCTAGCATTTACCGTACCGACACCCTGATGATGACCTCTACTAAGTGAGTACATGTATGTAGTAGCAGCCAACGGTGCCTGAGCTAGCTAGATAGAACACGACGGCAAAGTGGGAGATTTCCACAAGAGCTTCCATACTCCGCCCTAACAGATCTCACACATAAACCTGCTCTTCTCAATAAATATCTTGTGATTACGGTTGTGGTGGCGCCAACGTTTCTTGGAAAACACGACAAGCTTCAGCCTGGTCTTGTGCAAGCAGGAAAAAGCCGTGATTTTTGCGGATAAAGATTTGATGTTGTGGGTAGGGGTGTCGTTCCAACAAGTCCATCAAGGCATTCAAGTCTGCTGGAGTACTGAAGAGCGTTTCTACTGGAGAGCAAGGTACCTTCAATCGATCTGCATCCTCTTGGGAGGCGCAGGAATGTCCGTGAAGGACAAATTGTGGTTTGAGGGTCCAATGAAACTTTTGGGGGGCCACCACAAGGGCATTCCAGAGCAAGGGTGTGTCACTGGAAGGCTTGCTGGTTGATTCACCACAACCTCCATAGGTGGCCTTCCATGCGGTGGCATCAAACTGGAGAACTCTTACAAAATCAGCCTTTGACAACTTGGGTCCTGCCACACGTCCACTTTTGGATACCACAATGCTCAGCTTGCAATCATCCGTGATTGACAGAATAGCTCCATTGCCAAAGACCAGGCCAGTCGGAGAGACTGGCGCAGCACCGAGTTCTTCTGACACTGTCAATGCGGCCGCCAAGGGCTCCCATTCCTCTTTGAGAGGAGCTGGGCATGCATCATTCAATTCTACCTGAAATTTGACGCGTCCTTCTCCAGAAACTTCACTTTCTTCTTCTAATCCCATGGTGGGTTGCTATTTCAATGCTTCCTTTGTCACCTTGTGGCCCAAACCAAGTTATGGTGGCGACGGGGTGAGGTTGCTTGCATCATGGGCGGAAGATTGGGGTTCTGATCCACTCTGCATGTTTGAGTGTTCATTCGATCTTTCGAGTTTGAGTCACCAAATTTCGTGATTGGAATAACTATCGGAATCGAATCCAGGTGTATGGCATGCTAGCTACCAGTAGCTAGTACTAGTCTAGTAGTATGGTACAGTACGACAGTCCTGCCGCTTATGGCACCGGTGCCCTTTTACCGGTACTGGCTTCCACGTACCGATACGTTTCACTGCCACCGGTACGTTTTACTGCAACAGTCCACGTACCTCTGAAGCTCTGATGAATGATGAAGCAGCCAGCTATCATACGGTAGATTGATCATTCGATTCGATTCGATTGATTCAATCATCCCCCTGCGTCCATGCAAAATGTAAATCAAATCCATGAAGGTGCTTGCTAGCATAGCCATTACCTGGCGCTCGTGTCATTCAACGAGAAAGAATCGTTACTGTACCGTAGCTAGCTAGAATCGATTCGGTGACAGAAGACCTGGAAAAAACGAATCAATCCATAGATAAGAACATGCAGACTCAGTGCTGTAGCCCGTTTGGCATCCTAACCTTGTTATTATTCATGACTAATAATTCCGACTGGTGTGGACGCCACACAGCAACACAGTCTCAAAATCTTCTCAAATATCTAGTGACAATGATATTGTGGTTGCTGCCTGTGGTGCCAAAACTTCTCGAAAAATGCGACAAGCTTCATCCTGGTCTTGTGCAAGAAGAAAAAAGCCATGATTCTTGCGGATAAAGATTTGATGTTTTGGGTAGGGGTGTTGTTCCAACAAGTCCATCAATGCATTCAAGTCTGCCGGTGTACTAAAGAGTGTTTCCGTAGGAGAGCAAGGGACATTCAATCGATCTGCATCTTCTTGAGAAGCGCAGGAATGTCCATGCAAGATGAATTGTGGTTTGAGAGTCCAATGAAACTTTTGGGGTGCCACCACAAGGGCATTCCAGAGCAAGGGTGTGTCACTGGAAGGCTTGCTGGTTGATTCACCACAACCTCCATAGGTGGCCTTCCATGCGGTGGAATCAAACTGGAGAACTCTTACAAAATCAGCCTTTGACAACTTGGGTCCTGCCACACGCCCACTTTTGGATACCACAATGCTCAGCTTGCCATTATCATTGCTTGACAGAATGGCTCCATTCCCACAGACTAACCCTGATGGTGTGGCAGGCGCGGCACCGAGTTCTTCTGACACAGTTAATGCAGCCGCCAAGGGAATCCATTCCTCTTGAAAAGGAGGTGGACAGGTATCACTAATCTCCACTTGAAACTTGACTCGTACCTCACCAGAAACCTCACTTCCTTCTTCTAATCCCATGGTGACAAGGCTGGCTCTACAACAACAATGGTCTTGTGCGTGCTTGAGGATAACCGCAAATCTCCTAAACTGTTGTATGGGTATTCGAAGTCTGGAAGTTTGTGCGGAAGCGGAACATTGGCTGCAACGTGGCGCTAGCTAAGCTTAAGCGGTACTGTTTTGTACAGAACTTTGTGACTACGTCTACTTTTAAACTTGCAGTGGCGCACGAAAAGCATAATGTAACGTTACAGCTGCGTTCCTTGAGTATGTAATGGATGGAAGATGGAAGATCCTGTTAAACACTGATTTTTGATGGATTTGCTGAAAAGTGATGAAAATGAACGCTATTAATAGTATATGTAGAATAAAATCGTCCATTTGGAACTCTTGAATTAAATTCACAACTGTGAAGCATAAGGTACCGTCCTACGGTATACAGCATACCGGTACGATCCTGTTAACACTGATTGTTTTACGATTTGCAGAAAAGAGCTGAAAATGAACTCTCTGTATGGAACTTTTTGCTGCATTTAATAAGTTAATAAGTACTGGTACCTACGATAGTCCAGCTCTGACATAGCACGTATGAAGGGGCCTTCCTCAAGTACCCGTATAATTCCTCACGTTTCATACCGTACGATTGTGATTCATTCGATTCTTCGGTCTACGGTACGACTGCATGATACGGTACCAGGTGCTACCGTACTAGTAGTAGCACGTGCAGGGTGTGAAAAGAATCTGCCGGTCCAGTCTGGCTGGATCTCCCCAGCATCACCACTTATCTCGAACCTTAAAACATTCTGCCAATCATTTTTATTTTTGGGGGGTTGAATGATGAGTGTCGAGTCACGAGTCGAATGATTCGAATCAAAGTCGAATTGAATTGAATCGAATGATTCGATTGAATCGAATTGGATGCAAAACGGAGTCGTGATGGTTCGTGATTCGTACGTGTTCGCAAATGAAACAAAGGCCAACACAACAACACAACCTCTTCGTTGTTGCGATGCTGACTCTGAAAAGGAAGCATTGGCCTCGGCTTTCGTCAAATGCCACAATACCAAAAACTCGAATCCATGAAGGTGTTAGCACGGATAGTCGTTGCCTTGGCGGCCGTCGGAATCGGCTGCAATTCTTTTCAGGTACAAGTCCCAACTACCGATACATGTAGTACCGGTAGGAGACCTTGGGTGTTCCAAACTGCCATCAAAGAGGAAAGAAACAATTTGTTCAAGGCGAAGAGAGTGTCACTGTGGAGTCACAGAAATCAAGATAACAGCCAAGATGCGTTGACGGAAATCGCTTCGTCTACATCTACCACCACACCACAAGCAGTATCATGGTTGAAACAAGCAGTTCCCGCGGTGCTCCTAATGATGGCAGCCATGATGGCGCCAGTGGACATGGATTTCTCTCCACCATCTTTTTTGTCCTTCAAGCAATTATCTATACAAACCTCGTCCAAAGCATGGGCTCTGACGGAACAGCAACTGCTAGTCACGGATGTTTGGAAGGAAGTCACACGACAATACCTGGATACCACCTACAATGGCATGGGGGAAGAAAAGTGGAAACAAAAACGTCTAGATGCCGTCAAAAAAGTGACCAACCTTGGTCCTGACGAGGAAGAAAAGCTGTACGAAGCAATTCGCACCATGCTGGGCTATCTGGGTGATCCCTACACTCGATTCTTGACACCTGCTCAGTATGAAGCTCTCACCGACTATGCCCGAGGAGGTTCGGCAGGTGTTGGGGTACAACTACAAGTAGATCCTCGATCGGGGCAGGTGATCGTTTTGAACACGGTCCCCAATGGCCCGGCAGAGAAGAGCGGTATTCTACCGGGAGATACCATTGTGGAAGTCGATGGAATGGACATGGCAGCAGCACCCGCTGAAGTCGTAGCGGCCAAATGTCGTGGCTCACCGGGGACCAACGTCAATGTGGCTGTTCGTCACGCCGACTCTCCTGGTCGCATTGTACAAATGACTCTGGAGAGGGCGGCAATCCAAGTCAACCCGGTCAAGAGCGGTGTGACAACGGTCAATGGGAAAGCGCTGGGTATTATCAAACTTTCCAGTTTCAGTCAAGAAACCACCAAACAGGTTGTGGATGATATGCGACAACTCCAAAAAGATGCCAACATCAAAGCTATTGTGTTAGATGTCAGAGGCAACGCTGGTGGCTACATGCCTGCGGGAGTTGACGTTGCTAAACTGTTTCTGCCACCGAAAGCTCGGATCATTACCCAAGTCGACAAGTCAGATCGCCAAACCATTGAAATTGCCGATGGCATCGGCAGTGAAACCAAACTACCCGTGTACGTCATTGTGGATCAACGAACCGCCAGTGCATCGGAAATCATGACGGCCGGTCTGCAAGACAATGGTCGGGCCACAGTGGTGGGTGCATCCAAAACATTTGGAAAGGGACGAATTCAAAATGTGCAAGAGGTTGGAGACGGAAGTGGCATTGCTGTCACCAAGGCCAAGTACATTACACCCAACGGCAATGATATTCATGGCGTGGGTATTACACCAGACGTCCAATCGGATAGTTGCAGTCCGGAAAACACTGTTTCCGACTGCCTATCCAAAGTAATATTGTAAGTGAATGACATCTCCGTCTAGCTACTAGCTAGCTTGCTTCAATAGCTACTACCACGAGCGCCGACAAGCGGCGCTCGCCTAGAGCAGCACTGCACGACTAGTTGAGTAGAGTAGGGTGGTGGAGAGACTCGGCCATTTACTGAGCCGACCGTCTCCGCTACCCAGGGGTGCCGCTCGTGATTGCTAGAATCCCGAGCGGGAACAAGGCACGAATGAGGCAGTCCCGCGGGATGTGAGTCCCGCGTGATTGTACGACATTCGGCCAACCCAGGGAGGGAGAGGTGGGTTAATCTATTCTAGTTCTTGCTTGCAGCTCGTGAAGGAAGAATTGTGAGCAGAGAGGAGACAACCTTCTTGCGATGACTGTTCAATGGCTGAAGAGAGAGTTGGACCGGTCTTGCATGTTGTGTTCATTCAAGGTTGCTATCTGTGAGCGGTCTTCGAGGGGTGCTATTGCCTTAGAGCCGATCTTGCGAAGGAGGCAGACATAGCGACATGTATGTGGGGTATCCATTTCAGGAACGCAGGTGATGACCTGAGAGATGTGGAGATGTACTTGATGTGTAGGAGCGAAGTGTGGGAATCGATTTCGTGTATTGTGAGATGGTACAGTTTGGCAACTGTGAGTCGAGTCATTCGTCGAAGAACCCATGAGGGTTCAGGTTTGCGTGGAAGGATAGGGATCAGGGTCGTTGTCCTCTTTTGCGTGCGGCTGCTCGACAAGTACTAGCTAAGCTAGTACGGTAAGTAAAAGTAGCAGATACATGATGTACACGTAGTGGTACGGTACCGGTCCTGTGTGGCATGGGCTACCAGTTCCGGTCCTGCATCTGCTGGCCAGCTCTGGTAGCTTGCTTGCTAGATTTATCGCGGGAACCCCTGTGTCAACATTCCGTTAGATGATGGAAGGGTTCTCGGGTTCTCGCCTTCTCGTGAGCATGATGTCTCTTATTTGATGGCATCAACTTCTTATGCCGTATTGCGCACCCATCAAATCGGAATCGAATCCATTCTCAGCAAAGACCAACAAGAATATTCTTTGTGCGAGCTCTATTCCTTGATGTGAGCTCCCGTAGTAGCCAGCGTTTACCTAGCTAGCTAGCTACATTTAGCTAGCCAGTAGCTTGCTGGAGTGCGGTGAGCCCATCCGCGACCCACGCTTGCAACTGAACTGGTACCAGTACCAAACACGTCTTCTGCTGGCTGAATAGCTAGGAGAAAGATATCCCACTAAAGAAAAACATTATATAAGCTAGAATCATTTTCAGTCTATAGTCTTGTCTAGGGTAGCTTAAGTTTTGTTCATGTAAGCACTGATGCAGGTGGGATATTCAGAACCTTGGGAAGTATTATTGCCTGTCCAGGAATCCAATTTGGCTGCCTTTTCCCACACCAAACATTGCGTATTCTGTGCAGAGCAGCTTGTGAACTGCTTCCCGGTCTTGGTCGGGAACTCCTTCTGCCACAGCGTCCATGAAAACATCGAATGATAGTTCCACCAGATCGTCGTCAATGCCCATGTTCTTGTGCATTGCTGCAAGACTTCTCTTGGCGCCCTTCTTGAGGTACTTGCCCATGTACATCATGTCAATTCCTCGAGAGAACTCGGTGACGACTTTGTCGGCCTTCATCCAAAACATTAAGAAGGCAAGTGGGCGGGCACCAAGACCGACAAGTTGTTCGAGGCGGAGTTGACCACGGAACTTGTGGTAGATAAAGTGATCGACCAGGCGAAGGGATTCCTCGTTTTCTCTCCAGGACGTGCACTTGATCAAGCCGAGAAAGATATTTTCACCTGCCTTGCGACTAACTGCCCATCTCATGGCTCCGTCTGTGGCTTCTTCAGACTTGGGTAGCTTCTTGGGATTCCCTTGAGTGAAAGCTCGTACCACCAGATCTTTGTCATAGGACTTTAACTTCTTGGTACCACTCGCTGGTAGCTTGGTTAATGCAAACCTTACCTGAAACATGAAGACGAGGATTTTCACCAGGACGGCATGGGTCATTTTGTTTACGGGTGTGTTTACTTTCTCAAGATCAATACCTGGGTTTACAAGCTCGTATGGTTCTTCCTCTGAAGCTTCGAAAGCGGAAATGGAAAAGGGACACTTCTTGCGCCTTGCTTGTGTTGGTTCGGGAGTCATTTGAACTCTGCCATGGTCGAAAAATTCAGGGGTAGCAGCGGCCGCTTGGAGTTGGAGGCCGGTAGATCTGAGAGTCTTGATAGCTCCTGATATACCAATTGCCACAGCTTGAAGACCTGAAGTCCTCAGAGTCTTGATGGAAAGGATAAGGTAGTAGTATAGAAAAGTTCTCATTGTTGTTTGTGATGTTGTTGTTGTAGTTGTTGTGGTTGGTTTGTGAGCTCTTCAAAAGATCGACGTAACAGATTTCAATTCTTTCCGCCACTCAAGTGGGTCATATTCCAAATTTCCAATGCAGCATAGAGAACCAAACTCCCATGCAGGCACGGTGATGGGCGCTCTTGGTTGGCTGGATGGGCGAGCAGAAGGCGGGGTGTTCTTTGATGCTTACCAGTTGGATGCAGCTGCTTTCTTCTTCGAAGAAGGAATTTATGCTCTACGAGCAACCTACGTACTTTCAGTACTGTACCACTTTCCCGGGGATAGATTAAATGCTAACCTTAGTGGTCTACAGAAGGTCAATGCCAACCAGGTTTGACTCCTGCATACAAGAGAAAGTCACAACTTGAAAGTCACAATGCAAAATAAATGCCAGGACCACGACCACGCACGCCAATCACTGTTGGTTTTGTATGTGTTTGCTGTGTCGCTACCGCTTTGTTTTATTGGCCAAGAGTCAAAGCCTCCTCGTCTATTGGTCAAGATGGATTTGGAGCTGAAGCCCTTGTGAGAAAGCCCAAAGTGCCAACAGCGTCAGGAGTTATGTTTGGGTCTTTCTCGTTGAAGAATGCCACCAAACTGGTTGTCATGTCCACAATTGGGACACAATGTTGTATGGTATCTGCAGGCAACTATCTTGGCTTTCTTTCGAATATAGTTTGAATGCTACCCTAGTTTTACAGGTGCTAGACTGGTGCGTTGCTTTTGGAGATGACGTTACAGGTGTGCACGCGGAGCTCTGTGTCGTGAATGCGGCCCCGCCCTTCATAGCTTTGTGTTGCTCCATGATGCATGCATCCTAGCAATGCATGCGTAGGTCTTGATGTGTGTGCTATGGTGCAGTGCCAGAGGAAGTCCCTGTGCCTTGCTCTATTGTGCGGCTGATCGCGGTCGTTGCAACTTCCGAGTAGGTAATGTGCGAGATGAATCCTGCGTTGCTCACGTGAAAGTAGATTTCGTCCTTGCCCCAAAACAAGCCATCGTTGCCCCAAACCAAACCTTTCCGACCATTGTTGGCCGCGATCGGACCTGTAAGACTGAAATATCCGGACCCGTAATTGCAGCAGAGACCGTCGCCCTCGGAATCGCTCAAGATCACGCGATGCCACCCTCGTTGTAGCGTTTCGATTTCGGTCGATACCAGTTGTCGAAGAGGAGCCGTGAGGCCATTCCACTCTTCGACGAGAGTCCAAGGCTCGTTCGACTGAACATTGGATTGCTTCCGATGCACCTGCCATGATATCTCCTCGGGATAGTCGTCCGTGTAGACATTGATGACGATGCTGGATGCATTTTGGACGGGCATGGCTCCAGGCCAACTTGGCTGTTGCTGAATAGAAGGACCGATCTGGGCTTCGTGATCTTCCCACGTGGACGGTTGGTAGTGTGCCGAACGGCTAGTGACTCTGACATGGCCATTGACAAGAATATCAAAGTCCACCTCGTAGTACGATCCAAAGTTCCCCCTACTCGACCACACCTCTGCGCCCTTGACATTATCGTAAATCGTGATTGACCCCGTGCCGTAGGAGCAACAGATGCCATCGCCTTCGGAATCACTCACTTTGAACAAGTACGTGACCCCTTGCGTGAGATCGTTAAACCTTTGGTCGTCCGTGGCACCTGCTACCGTAATGCCCTCGTAGGGAAGAAAATACATGGCTGTTTGTGCCCCTTGGGCAATCATGGTCCACGAAATTTCTTCCGGATAATCGTCCATGACAACGGTGACGGTGACGGAACCAGGGCTTTGTCTGTTTCCGCTACTGCCGCCCGGTGCAGGCGTGGGCGGTGGTGTCGATTGGGATGTGTAGTCACCATCGCAAAACGGATAGGCACTGTACTCGCACTTGGACCGATTGATCCAATCCTGTGCGGCACTCACCCGCGAGTTGACTCCTGCGTAGTTGGCACGAGCGCATCCGATTCCAAAGGATACGATTCCTACGAGTGTATTGGTGGCTTGGTGCACAATGGGGCCTCCACTGTCACCCTGTTAGCGATAACAAGTTAGTTAGTTCGAGACGACGATGACGATGGTTAGTGAGTGAGTGAATGCAGACAAAAGTCCCTTCCCGGGTCAGACTGGGACAGAACAGACCGCGACGCAAGGAAGCAAGGTAGTTAGCTCCCAACGTACCTGACAGGTATCAATGCCTCCACCATTGACGCCACTACAGAACATGTAAGATTCTTCAAAATACTGTCCGTATTGATTTTCGCACCGCTGATTGGCAAAGGCGACAATTTCCGCGTCTCTCAATACGTCCGACATGCCCGCGATATCTTCTCCAATCTGACCGTACCCGATACCCCACAAGGCATCATTTGTCGCGGGGACATTTGGGTTGGTATTAATGTCAATAATTTGGACTCCGGTAGGATTCCCTTGACTATCGACCAAGGCGGATTGGTCTAGTTTGAGCAATAGATAATCGTGATCCCGTGTGGAGTATTGTGCATTGTAACTGGGATGTGCGACATGATCGATAATGGACCGTATGACACTTCCGGATTGTCGGCGTTCGATATTTCGAAAGTAGACCGAGGGGGATATTGTTCCGGCATTGTTGCAATGGGCTGCCGTAATGACCAAGTCGTCGTGAATTAACTGATTGTTTGTATGATTGTTTGTTGTTGTTGGTTGTTTGTTTGCGGAAGGTATAATGAATGGATCATGTGATTGTCATGACAGGATAATTACAGGTTTTGAGGGGTATCAGGGTATAAGGATGACACACATGCATATGAAACGAAGCAGCAATACACATTTATAAAAAGAAGTGTGAGACGTTGATTTTGGAAAGTGCTCGTACAGTACAGTACAATTCGTAATTGGGGGTAACGTACCGCTCCTCCACAAAATTGTCCGTGCCATTCGGCAAAGAATGGATGCTTGTCGAGATCGTTGACAATGTCGCCACCAACGACCCTTGTGTCTATGTTTAGCAGATCCCTCTTGTCATCTTGTTGTTGTTGTTCTCCTTGTGGATTAGTAATAACTCTGTCATGGTTGGGGTCGTATTGATCACTGCCGCTGATGGCCCTTTTCTCCTTGTGCGGGTGTTCCTGGTGGTTGTTCTGCGTTCGAAGGTTCGAGTGATGCTTGGGTTTTCGCGTTGTCGTCTGAGCGGAAGCGCAAGGACTTTGATGACTGGCCGCTAATAGCAGCAAGATCAGACGTTGTACCAACTCTCTTCTTCGGACCATCTTGACTGATTCTGTTCTGTTCTTGTTCTTGGATAGTAACAGTTAGTCGGAAGGAATAGAAATAAATAATAAGGGAATTCAATCTTCTCTTGGGTAGCAGCAATCGGATGTATGGGAAAACCAAGACTAGCTAGCTTGAGAGATCTCAACTGATGGGATGGGTATGTTGCTATTGGCAGAGTACAGAGCGGATGGATGGATGGAATGTAGCCGACAAAATCGCAGGGACAGCTACTAGACCGAGAGGAGCCGGAAGAAGCAACCAACCAACAAGCCAATGAATGAGGTTGCCTTGGTGTCAATAAGGACAGCAGCAAACGACCGCGCTTCCCGATGGTATCTGTTCGGAAGCAGATACGGCAGCAGACTCAGACTAATGGCAGCACCTCAACTACCGCCACAGACCAAAACGGATGAGTGGAACAATCCCACCGGATAATTACAATGGTTGTGAACGGCGTTGCGTCCGCTGTTGTAAAGTGGGCCGCCCCCAAAATTGGCAAGGTGGGACTCGGAACCGCTGCCGCGGAATAGTAGTAGTAGTAAATGTTACTGGTCATCTTACGGTGAGAGAATGTCTCTGATACTTTTGATGGAGAGCTACTCGCACTGTAGATTAGTACGATTACTGAAGCGAAAATGGCATCAATGACTTCTATGAGAATTCTGCTGGGTCACCAGCCCCGGTGTGGAGTTGGCGCGGTTGTCACTTGTTTTGTAATTAGGAGCAACAGGGGGAGCCCTCATTAGTTTTGCGGTGTCACATACATTTTGGAGCCCAAAAAATGAGCGATGATCCCACGTCCGTATGATGCACCAAGTGCAACTTGGACCAGTACGGAACGGTAGATATTTCAATAGCAGAGCTGATAGTAGCTGCGGTAGTACGGTAGCATGGACCATGTCAGGGTCTCTCAATACCACTGGTAGTTGGAATCGTTGAGTCTTCATTTGTGCAAGATGGACTGCTGGAGCCACCGGGAGGAGGTTTTTGAGAGCCTGTTGCCGCACTGCGTCCACTCTCCTTGCCTTGAGCAACAACAAACAGGTACCCACCGCCATGCAGCCGCATGTATGTTTGTACTGGTACCAACCCAGAGGCATTGCATTGTCACACTTATTTTATTAGTGGTCCTCACTCGTCTCGTTTTCGTTTCTTGTCACTTTCATGGAGAGCCGTACGAAAGGAATGGCGACAGGCGACAGACTGATAGCTACATACATCTGCTGACGGTGGGGGCATTGGCCAGTTGTTCGTTCGCGAAAGATTTTTCGTACAGCCTAGAGAGCACCCCCCAAAATGAGCGAGGGTTGCATGGTACCGGCTCTCAGTTGGAACGTTGAGCCTTTGTGTGCTATCATAGTTGCCTCCTCCAGCTGGTTGATAGATTGAATCTCGACTCATTCTAGTCGGTTGGTCTATGGATTCGATTCTAGTCATTGTATTTTTAATATCTATGTGTAGCTACCGGTACTAGCTAGCTACGCTGTACCGGTACCCGGACGGAAACATATATACTTTGTCGGGTGCTTTTCGGTGCTTTTCTGCGTATTGTTGCGAAACATTGTTCTGCTTCATTGTCATGTCATGCTCGAGAGGGACTACGTGCCCCCATGAGCTCTGATTGTGTTTCAAACAAGGTGTCGCGGGTAAATCCTAATCCCAGTCCATGCCGTTCGATCGGACGGCCATTGTGAAACTCTTCGTCCTCGACCGCCCCGATGCTTTTACAGATGGGGCAGATGTAGTAACTCACGTCGGCAATGGCGTACAAATCCAGGCTGCAGCAACCCAGGCAGGACACGGGAATGTAAAAGCTGTTGCGAATGGCATCCTTGGTTTCATGGGCACGACGAAGTGGTGCTTTGACCCCAGGAAAGATCTCCACCATCAGTTCCTGGTCATCGGACAACATGGTCGATTTTTGGCTGCTTTTTCGACCCTTTCGGGAACTCTTGCGGCCAAGTCCTGACCACGACGAGTGAAAGGCGTCGGTCCCCAAGTCACTCTTGGTCTTTCGGGGCATCTTGTTCTTGGTGTCCTTCGATTCAAATCCATGGAAACTATGCAGGCTCTGACAGCTGTGAGTGCTACGGCTATCCAAATCGATAGAGGTGGAACGAACGGGAAGCTTGCGACTTGAAGATGAACGCTTGAACAAGGACATTGTCTTGGCAATAGACAACTTGTCCTCGTTTTTTGACTTGTTGCTCTCTGCGTTCCTCTCTCTGTCGCCTCCATCACCATCAGGAGCCCTTAACGACTTGAATTGCTCTGATCCCGCATCATTCTTCACTTGAGAGTTTGTTTCCACGTCGGATTCTCGCTTGAACAAGGAAATGGTTTGGACTGGGGCTGTATGCTTTGACAGTGACACTTCAGGGCCGTCGGACCATTTACTTCTATCTGCACAATTCATATCTTCTCCAGCGTCACCACCGGCCCATGAAGTGTGAAAGTGATCAGGTACCAGTTCACTCCCGACTCTAGGTGGCATCTTGCGGTTGTAGTGTGACGATTCACTCTTGGAGTGGCGGGAGTCATATCCATGGAAGCTATGAGCATCCAAGTCGGACGATTTGGTGCGTCCATGAAGTTTGCGATTCGATGATTCAGGTCTGCTTGTACTAGTACTGCAGGGCCGATTCGTCCACGACTCCTCTTGATCGTCGTAGGCCTGCTGCTCGTTGCTTTTGCCATCGAGAAGACAATCGTTGTGTTGACTTCGAAGCTTTCCTTCATGTTGATCGTAAGCTTGCGGACAATAGCTTTCACCTCGATATCCTCGCTCGTTGTTAGAAAGCGAGCGACCGGGAAGATTCCGCGTGGTCTCCTGACGGTAATTCCCCGGCAAACGTCCTTCACGCCTTGTAGTTCTTGGTGCATTGTTGTAGGAACGAGATCGACCAGGCAGCTTTCGCGGTCCTTCTCGCGGATAGCGGCTGCTTTCGGTTGCTTCTTCTCTGTGTCCATGGTAGCTCCCTACATCGTTCGACTGCGACCGACGAGTGAGATGTCTTTGACCGCAGCCTCTGTCTGTACCTGGTTGGTGGCGATCTTCCCCGTGTCCACGGTAACTTCCAACGTCGTTGGATTGCGACCGACGCGGGAGGGGCCTTCGTGGTGAGCCTTGATGGTAACCCCTGTCTTGCCCTGTTTGTTCGTGAACACCATGAGCATGGTAATAAGGATCATGCCCATGGTGATGCTGACGTTGACCGTAAGGAGCCGTGTCGTTTTCCCATGATGGGTCTCCGTCATATCTGGGATTTTCGATGTCTGTTGTGTACACTACAAGCTCCGTAGGTATTGCATCACTGTTCTGGCTTCCGAAGGACGATGTTCTGTTGTGACCAGGACGGCCGTGACCATTCTGATTGTTCTTCCAAGATTGCTGCCGAGCAAACTCGAAGCGGTGCTTCAAAGAAGCTTCTCTCGTGAGGCCGGGACGTCCCTGCTTCCAAGATAGCTCTCTAGAGCACGAGGGGCGTTCGCGGTGCCGGAATGAGTTTTGTGAAGATACCGAAGGACGGTTTCTCTTGAAGGAGTCACCACGTGAGAGTACTGGGCGATCTTCTCCACTTCTGCTACCACAGGATCGCAGTTCGTCTCCACCGTAACTCCTGAAAGAATTTTGAGGAGAATGTGCTTTAAACTCCTCATTGCGGCCTCGAAACGAGTCACTCGATGTGACAACAGGGCGCTCATCGTTGCGACTTCTGAATGAATTATTTGGTGAAAACATTACGCGTTCATCTCCACCACGTCTGCTGAAAGAATCATTCGGTTCAAACGCAGCGTGTCCGTCCCCCAAACCTCTGAAAGAACTATTGGGGGAACAGGAAGGCCTGTGATCCCCTCCTCTCCCCTTGAAGGAGTTGTTTGGAGACAAGGCTGGCCTGGAGTGGGGAACATTAAAATCAGGCTGCGACACCGAGGCAGTCTCCGTCATGGAACCTCGCCGTCCCCTAAATGAATTGCTAGGAGACAAAACGTGCTGCTCATCTCTTTGTCCAATTGGCGGACGCCTGGGAGACAAGAATGTCTGGTGCTCGCTGTCTCGGCCTCTGAAGGAATCGTTGGGAGACATGACTGGCTTAGGACCTCTCATTGGGCTCCTCATTGAGTTGTCACCTCTCATTGGGCTCCTCAGAGAGTTGTCACTTCTCATGGGGCTCCTCACTGGGCTTCTCAGGGAGTTGTCTTGGTAAGTCCGCCTCGGTTTATGAGGCGAACAGGCTTCATCCGCCCTCCCAAAAGGGTGAGTGTTAGAAGCTATTTCCGTCACGGACTCTCGTCTTCCACGGAAAGAGTTGTTTGGGGACAAGACGGGCCGGGTGTCCCTCCATGGTGAGCTTCCGGCATAGCCCATGTCATTTCTTGTGGGTCTTGGTGAATGATAGGCATCCTCAGCTCTCCAGACTGGTTGGGTTACTGGCGCAGTTTCCATCATGGACTCTCGTCGCCCTCTAAAGGAATTGTTAGGGGAGAGACGCTCCTCATCGCTGCAGCCGCGAAAGGAGCAATTTGGAGAATGCGGCTTCCAATCTGGTTTGGTCACCGAGGCAGCTTCTCCAATGGAACCACGCCGACTGCCGGCACGACTAGAAGCATTGGAATAGGTACGCTCAACTCCACCACGTCGATCGTGTACAGGGGAATAGGCTCTGTCACGACGGGACGCTGCAAGCGTCGCACTAGGAGTTCTAGTGTGTCTGGGCTCCCAGTGGTCATTGCCATCTTGCTGGACACGGCGGCTAACCTGCAGGGTTCGCTCCTCAACTCTGGAGCCCGGAAATCCACTGACAGCATACGCGGCTTCACGGGAGGGCACCGCGATTTCATAGTAGGAGCGGCTGCTCGCCGTCATGGAGCACGTCTTGCTAGTTTTGCTCTCAGCAACGCTGTATGCATCGGGTTCCGGCGGTGGTTTTTTCAACATGGCTCGTAGCTTTCGGCTAGTGGGTGCAGGATCGTAGCTAGTGTTCATAAAGCGAGTTTCCTCCTCTTCCTCCACAAATGCTTCGAATGTAAGCGAGTCATCGTCACAAGAATCATCCATCGGAAGGCCATCATCTGCTCAATCAAACAACAATCATAGCTGATAAGGCAAATTCCAGTTCCAAGATGCACAAATTTTAGACCTCCCACAATTACACCACATCATCTTACCATAACCGTACTGGCAGCGACTCTTTTGGAACATGGACGACATCTTCTGTTTCGGCGGTGATTGCTCGTAGGGAGGGGAACGAAATTCTCCTAACTTGTTTGTCTCTCGAATCAAAGCCTGGTTTTTCTGCTGGGAGATTCGACTCGATACTACTCTTCTTCTCCGGTTGCGGCTCGCTGTTGCAAGTCACTTATGTGAGGCATGAGCAACTCCAGATAAAGTCAGTTGCTCTGTTTTGATTTTGTAACCCGGGGACTTCTTTTTCACAAATGTTGTGTCGGCAATCATTCAGCGTCGGCGAGTTAGTTATAGGGTGAGCTACTTGGTGGTTGGTGATGAGGGATCGCTATTAGAATGGGCATCATGACCACCGCTTTCAACCGAAGTCACAGCCACTGACACCCTACACCCTGCTGGAGATGGTGAGATGGTAGGGCACTCGCATCCAGGGTGACAGGCATACTGGTGACTATGAGAGGCATCTGGTCCCACTGGTGAAGAAAAGTCTGAAACCAACCCAAGAAATAAATGCCCAGCCAAATTTCGCAGAGGTAAAAAGTTGGGGTTCTGCCTGTTCTCCTTGTGCGCTCGGCTTTCTATCTGAAGACATTTTAGGAGGCTCTGAAGGGAACAAGCTTTTTAAATCTTATGCAACAACGAAGAAGAGATAAAAAAGCTTCGAAGAACGCATACAAGATGCTGTGAGCTATGCTGTGAGAGCTCTGTGAGTGACCCACAAGGCTCCCACACGAGCAAGTAGTGACCGTACCGGAACCGGTATCTCGATATCTCGATGTCTCGACGAGGACCTGGACGAGGAGGATGAAGAAGAAGCCCCCCAGGATAAGTCCCTTCCGGGATTCCTGTTGAGCAACGAAGAAAGGGATCTTGGAGGGTGTGACCAGGACTGTCGACCCATGTGCAACCGTGGCGCACGCTCCGATTGCAGCTGTTGCTCATGCTGCAACGCCACCGCCTCCGAGGTTTGCTTGGAGACGTGGACTTGGAAGCTGGCCTCGACTTGGAAGATGTGGGGCTTCGTACAAGCATCAATGCCATTGAACTCTTGCTTCAGTTCTTTCTGCGATTGTGGATCCTTGTGTTGACCCAGCCTATGTCGTCGACGTGGGTATCCGTGAGGAGGAGGAGAACAGGAGAACTAGTCTATAGAACTAAATTAGCGAAAGGAAAAGATCGGGTTATTATCCAGCACAAACCGTCTGCTTCCAGCCGTTTTAGACTCCCTTCAATCGTGTGTCCTTCTCCCGCAAATACCAATTTCCAACACGCCCAACAGCTCCACTCCATTATCTGTTTCTTCTCTCCCTCCATTACTTTTATCATTCCCTGAACATGCCCCTCCCAACTTCATTAGACGATGTGTCGGTACAACTGATCTACAGCGAACGCCCCGACAAAGGAAACGAAGATCTTTGGAAATTCTACGCAATAGCTCTGTCTCCCTTCGTTCTTGGCGTTCCAGCCCGCCAAGTGAATTTATTTCTGCACGAACCCTTCCTTAATCTCAATGATTCTACAATTGGCACTGTCAGAAAAATTGTTGAGACAACTGTGAATCAGACTATTCCTTGGCTACCCGAGGGCTACCAAGCGTACTTTGCGGCCGTGGTGGAGCGCGCGAAATCTATTGATTGCATCGTAGGTGCCCCCGTGTGTACTCTTCGCTTTATATCCGGACACGGCTTTCACAGCCACCAACAAGGAGGTTTCCTAGTTTGTGGCAAGAAGGTTGCGTTTGGTGAATTGGGACCCAACGCAACTTCGCTTACTGTTCTTGATATTAGCAACTCACATTATGCCGTGGCTTGTTTCGACGGAACCTTCCCGACTGGCAATCCGAAGAAATTCAAACGAAAAAAGTACTTTGCAACGTCGAAAATTGGTATTCCGGTTGTGTGTGACGCAAACGATTCGACGTGGCCTTTTCGAATCGGCTTTCACAATCAAGACGAGAACGACGACGATGAATCAAGTTTCGCTTTCATGTCAATCCCCATTGGCGATTCGGCGGCCTGTTGCCTACTTGCGGCAGTAAAATTATTCCTCCTCGACGGCGAGCAAGAAAAAGGCAGTCTTCGTGAAATCTTTTTCACAAAATACAACTCGCTCAAGAGCTCATTCCTAGGTCCCGACGTGGACACCCCGAGAGCTTACGCAAATGACCTAAGCGGGTTAGAGGATCTCATCCGCTCTCGAGTCTTGCCCGTCAAGATAGCAGCCTTCGAGTGCGAAATGTTCATGCGTCAAAACAAGTGGTACCTCACGATGGAAAGACCATTGGCGCTTCTAAAGGGGGACGATGTCATGGCAAATCACGTTGTTGACTACGTAATCAATAAGGTTGTCAGATGGCATGAAAATCGCCTGCAGTTACTTCCCGACGTGGACACGCTAAAGGAGGCCCGCAAGTCACAGGCATCATGGAATGAAGTTTTGTACACTATCGGACCTTTCGTTCCCGTCTAAGGGGAATTGATTTGGAATTCGACGAGAAGAGTAATACAGTGGTCCGTTCCGATGAAGGAATTCCATTCGAGACGTGGGCTATCTCATGTGAAGCATTTCCGGACTACGTTCGATATGCCAAACAATGGATAGCAACTGGAGATTCTGATCCAGAGAGCGAGGGAGCATACGTCGTAACGCCTCCACGGGCTGGTAACTAGTTTTACTTCGTGAAGAGTGCATTTATTGAAAGATAATAGAAAACATATACCAACAACAAACATAGTTTTATGAGCATATACCGTAAAATTGGTGACACAAGTTATATAGCTACTCAGACATGGTTTTGAGAGAACTTGAATTTGGTGCAACATAGAGCATCCCATAAAGTCTACATAAGCATCTTTATAGCCCAGTCAAAGGCAATTTTTTAAAAAACGAATTGGTAATAAACAGATCACTGCAGAAATACCTGATCCGATGTAGATTGCACGTGAATTGTGATAGTGAGTACTGTTCGCGCACAGTGCTGACGTATAAAACTAGCCTCACAAAGTTGGCCATCCCTCATTTTTTCCATCGTTCAAATCCAGGTTTTCGACTGTAATCTCTAGGTTGGATCGAGGTGATGGATGATGCAAGTCAACAGCGAAGAGTCTCATGCCGCCACCAAGGTGTTGGATGTCTTGCAGTCAAGGAAAACGTGCACGGTGTTCAGGCTACCTCCAGACACCCTTGAGGGACACCATATCCAGAGCATCCAGCTTTTGAGCTTACCTTACCATGGCGTCGACAGTGGACTTGCTGGCGGCCTTTATCTCTGTGGCAACAAGTGTCGACGTTCACGATGGAAAATGGGTGCCGATAGACTACTGGGTTCAAAAGGTCAAGCGAAAAGTGAGACGAGACGTATCCTGCAAAGATATGCACAATGCATTGAGTAGCTCGTGCACTACGCTAAAAGCTAGTGTAAAGATCTTTCGAGTGTTTTGAGTTTGAGAGAATGAAAGTTATGAGAGGATTAGAAAGCTATGAAAACTAATCAACGAGAGAGATCCACAATCAAAGGATCGTAGATCTGAACTCCCGCGGGAGACTGTAGAGTGTGATAGAGTAGGTTGCGGTAGCAATCCTACTCACTCCATGATCCAAAAACGGAACGCGTGGAAGATTCGTCTAGCATTTATCTAGTAGCGTGGAAGTACTCCACGCTGGCTAAATATCTAGAGCGATGTTTCATCATCAACCTAGTATGACTAGAGCGGTCATTGAGAACCCTGTCTCCAATGACTATTCGCGAATGACTACGTCATGAGTCGAACTCAAACCCTATCTAGGATCGAGTCGCGAATAAGGCTAAGAGCCGTGTATTGCATTCGCCCCCTGACAAGGGTCACGGAAGGCACGACATCAGTCGGACAAGGAGAACATATGAATTAAAGTGCGGGGCACTCTCCGGAGATTGGATGTAGACATGTGCGTCGCACGATGGCAATCCTACAAGGGGATCAGGCCTTGTATGGGTGTAAATACCTTATGTTCCAAGTCTGGTAGACTGTGCCGCTACTGGCGGTAGTATGTCGGAGCCGTACAGTGCCATTGTTATTGACTCGGTCTGTGTGGTAAGGACCTTGTGCGTTGGCTGACCGTACTAATGGTTCTGATACTGATGAATCATCATAGTATCGTTGACATGGTGTTGATGAGGGACACGTGCCGTGTTCTCCTTATCGGTGTTTTTCTGGATAAGTCGTTGGCGACTTCGACGTTCCTTAATGTATTTCCGGTTTGCTTTGAAACGGATGTGGTGAGTCTTGTCACGATTGACGCGCGTGAACTTGCGACGAAGTCCATGTTCATCCCGGAGAGTCTTCTCGACCTCTACGCGGGACTCACGTTCACTGTCCATGACAACCGGTCATGGGTACTGGGTAACCTACGTCTGTTTCAGAACGATGGTTACTCCGTCTGCTGTCTTGGAGCAGTCCTTGGTAGTTCATTGATCCAATGAATCTATGAAGTTCCTTCCTGCAATACACGGCTCTTAGCCTTATTCGCGACTCGATCCTAGATAGGGTTTGAGTTGACTCATGACTGAGTCTCTCGTGAATTCATTGAGACAGGGTTCTCAATGACCGCGCAGTCATACTAGTTGATGATGAAACATCGCTCTAGATATTTAGCTAGCGTGGAGTACTTCCACGCTACTAGATCCAGGCTAGACAACCTTCCACGCGTTCCGTTTTAGGATCTGAGATAGTAGGATTCTACCAAACTACTCTATCACACTTCACAGTCTCCCGCGGGACCAGATCTACGATCCTTGATGATGATCTCTCTCGTTGATTAGTTTTCATAGCTTTCTAATCTCTCTCATAACTTTCATTCTCTCAAACTCAAAACACTCGAAAGATCTTTACACTAGCTTTTAGCGTAGTGCATTTTGTTAACAAACACAATAGCTTTCAGCTACCCTCAATCTATTCCTTCACCATGAAGATGGCTCAAGAAAGCATGCGTTCCGCAACTTCGAAAAACAGTTGCGTGACAAACCCATTCTTCCTCTCGTCGACAATGACGACCAAAACGAGATCGACGATACTCGTGCAACCACTTGCAAACTTCGCAACCATGTTGCCAAGCGCAAATCAGAAAACTCTGACAATGAGACGACTCCTCTATCAACTTCAATCACTTGGATGGAGAAATCTCTATCTGAGGATTAGGCCAGGATGATGACTCAACGGAACCCTGTTCCGATTTCTCATACCAAAGTGATGAGATATCTCACTAACTAGTAAACAAGAATTGTTTGCCAACTGATGAACTCTACGCAAATTAGATGACTGCCTAGAAGCTGCTCAACTAGACTCTGATGACTATTTAGCATCGTTAACCTCGTCGTGGCCAACCACTCGTAAACGTCGCAAGACAAGAGACCTCAAACCATCGTCTATGTTAGATTTAACAAGCGAGAAAAAGGGAAACCAAAACCCGTTACACTCCGTTGCTTACTGGATAACGAAGCATCTGGAACCTTGATTGCTCACCTTCATGCTAAGAAATTACGCATGAAGGATCTTGGGGCGTCCAAACGATGGAACTACCCCTGCAGGAGAATTAAACACAGCACGAAGTGCAAGGGTGCATTCATGATTCCTGAAATCCACGAAGATAGAATTATCATACGAGTGGGACTACACGTCACCAAGAGCTTGGGGCGTATGACATGATCATAGGTCGAGATATTCTCTCTGACTTAGGTTTCAAGTTCGATTTCACTACCATGTCAGTGGAATGGGACGGCGCATCTATTCCTATGAAAGACAGCGACACAATGAAGAAGAAAACTTTTTCATTCCTGATCCTACCGCTGTGATGACAGTGCAGATCGTCTCAAGAAGATTCTTGATGCGAAATACGAACAAGCTGACTTAAGGCAGGTTTGCCAAAGTCAAGATCAGTTGAACACGGAAGAGAAGGAACAGCTTCATTCCTTACTGACGAAGTACTTGACCTATTCGAGGTACTTTAGGAAAGTGGCAGATGGACGACTATACGAAGTAGAACTTCTCCCTGATGCTAAACCCTATCATGCAAGGGCTTATCCTATTCCACGGGTTCATACCAACACTCTTAAAATGGAGGTTGAACGTCTCTGCGAGGCGGGAGTACTCAAGAAGGTAAACCGTTCCGAGTGGGCGGCACCAACTTTTCATCATTCCCAAGAAAGATGGATCTGTACATTCATCTCTGATTTCCGGGAACTGAACAAAGGATTAAGCGGAAGCCTTATCCTACCCAAAAATACAGGACATGCTCTTGAATCTAAATGGATTCAAGTACGCAACTAGTCTAGACCTAAAACATGGGATACTATCAATCGAGCTGTCACCTCACTCGAAACAACTCTGTACATCGTACTCCCATGGGAAAGTACGAGTACCAGAGGTTGCCAATGGGCCTATGTAATAGTCCACATCTTCCAAGAGAAGAATGGGAACACTAATGCACACCTAGAATACGTCCGTGCATACATTGTATGATCTAACCTTCCTAACTACGGCGACTAGCAGATACGTTGACAAGTTGGATGAAGTTTTCCGAAGGCTTCGAGAAGCTGGACTTAAGATCAATGCTACCAAGTCCTTCTTCGCAAGAGTGAGAACTTGATACCTTAGTCTTACTGGATTACTCGAGAAGGGATCGCTCACCATAACCTAAAAAATAACGACAGGCGATCAATGATCCATCCGCTCTAATCTCCTGTATGCCACAGGAAGGAACTCCCGTAGATCTCATTGGACTAAATTGTGAGACTGACTTCGACCGACAATCGTCGAGATTAGCAGCTAATCACATGCCGGAGCTACTGGGCTCCTCAGCTCGTTCTGTCGCTGTGCTCCAGATTCCAGTAAACAGCGAATGAACATGGCAAGCAGATCAGCTACGGATAAGCCTTTAGCCAGTATTGCAAGTAAAGATATAGTGCAATCAAGAAGAAACCTTGCTCGCCTACCCCTGACTTCAAGACACATTCGTTATCCACACGTATGCGAGTGAACTCAACTAAGGTGGCAGTAATTTCCAGAAGGGAAAACCTATCGCGTTCTTCAGCAGGAAGCTCAACCCTAGCTCAGACACGTTTACAACACGTTACCGAGAAGAACTTCTCAGTATCGTAGAAGAAACTCTAAAAGAGTTCGTAACATTCTTCTAGGACAGAAGATCGTCGTACATACGGCGGGGGGGCACACATCCCAACGGAAAAATTTCTTACATGTAAGAACTTCAATACCGACTCCGTATGCGATGGCGCCTTATTCTTGGAAGAAATACGGCCCTGAACTACGGTACAACCAAGGGCGAACAAACGTCGTCGCTTGATGCGTTTGTCGAGTCTTAACATCTCCAACAACGACAGGTTCTTCAGAACAGATGGAAGCCAGCGAGATGGCTGAGCTCATGGCTGCAGACGAAGAGACTTCCCTAGCGAATTCCCTCTCCGTTCCCGAGATCGAACATCTTCAGAAAGACGAAACGATATCCAAAACTCCTCAGAGGACAAGCACAAACGACAAAAAGAAGCAATCTTTCCCCCAGATAGGGATAAAGTCCTACGACTTAGTAGGTATAGGACGATAAAAATCGTCGAACCAAAACTATGCAGAAAAAGCTGGGTTTG